GTCCACGCTTGGCTCTGGCCAACCTGTTCAACCTTCAAGTGCTAGACAGTTTGTGGCTGTGTCGCTAGTCCTGGCTGTGCATGGGAGGGACCCAGCTGTGCTCTCTGGCTTATAGCAGCTTGGGGCCCAGGGGCAGGTCAGCAAATGTCCCAAGGGCTTTGGGATCCGCCACCACTTTCCTGTCCCTGCTGGCTGGCTGTCAGAAGTAATCACTCAAAAGGCTTTTTCTGAAAGTGTTTTTGGTGGAATCCGGGGAATGGGGTCTCTGGGTCTCCCGTGAAGGGAGGTTCCATTCACACTCGGGGGAAGAAGGTGTTTGTTTCCCTGTTCCAGAGCCTCAGGTCTGAGTCTGCCCTACCTGGGCACGGCGAGCCCCTCCCAGGCTTGCTGGCCGAGTCTGCTGAAGCAGGAGTTTCTGTGCGCTCCACCATGAGGGGGTCGCCATTCAGCTTCTTGAGAAAGTGGGGGAATGGCTGACGCCCCCTGAGGTTGCCTAGACCTGTGGGTCCGGCCTCTGCGGCTGCCTCGCAGCTGGGGTGGAGAGCAGGGTGGAGCTGGGGTTCCGGAGGGTGGGCGAGCTTATCCCCAGGCGTGGGGGGTTTGCCTTTCCCCAGCCTGTGGCTGCTGGAGGGGCCTCTGCCTCTCTGGAAGAATGTCTGTTGTGGTCTGAGGGTGGGGAATGACCGAGCACAGGGATCCTGGCAGCCCATCTTCCAGTCCCTCCCCAAAGCCTCCCCCCCAGACTCTCCTCAGGCGATTCCTGTCCATGTCACCATCCCCCGGCTTCAGCCAGGGTGAGTGGCTGGGAACCCAACCCCGTGCCTGGCCCTTGGGAAAAAGAAAGTGGCTTTGTCTCTGGCAGGCCCGGTCTCTCCCTGGTGGATAGAACCTCACCACCTTTCCCTGCGGGGCGCTATGTGGGCGGCTGTTCCCAGTTCTGGGCTCTGGGCTAGGGAGCCTGGGGCCAGGCCTCTGCCCCTCTGGTGGTTTCTGCCCTTTCTTGTTTAAAGGTCTCTTCTTCAGCTAGTCTTCAGTTGGTAATTCAGGGTAAATGTTCCCCAGTTTAATTTTATTTCCAGTTTGGTTCTGGGAGGAGGTGCAAGAAAGATCCACCTCCTCTGTGGCCACCTTGGAATTCCTGGGGTTCATTCTTTCCCAGCGGAAGGGAGCTGCCCCCCACCCCCATCTGTGGTGCATTCATAAGAGACGCGGCATATTGTCACCTTTCTAAATAAAGTAACTTCTTGGTGTTTGGAGAAATTCTGATATTCAACTAAATTTTTGCAGAGTTAAATAGTCAGCCACTTTCGTATTATTAAATCTTACTATGCTAGTAGGCATTTTGTGGGACTTTGTAAAGATGATTACAGAAATTTTTGTTGTTTTTCTGTGATGTGATTTTTTTTTTTAAATGTTTTTATTAATTTTTAGAGAGAAAGCAGGGGAGAGGGAGAGAGAGAGAGGTACAGCCAAGTGAGGGAGAAACATTGATCAGCTGACGCCTGCACACCCCTACTGGGGATGGAGCCCACAACCCTGGAATGTGCCCTGACCCGGGGTCCAACCAGCGACCTCTGGGTATGTGGGTCCGCACAACCACTGAGCCACACCCGCCAGGCATGTGATGTGATTTTCATGGAAAAGTGGTTGTTCTAATCGACCACCATCTAGATGCATTGCCTGTTTCTAGTTCGTGAACACTGTATTAATCTTTTTCTAATAGAGTCAGGCGGAGGCTGTGGGAGTTATATTTGGCCACAGTTGAGCTTCCATTGTTTTTCCTTTGAGCCACTATAGATGGGTCCTAGTGGTGCTGGTGGGTACCTGTTCCTCAAGCCCATTTCCCTGCCGTCTCACGTCATCATCTCAGTTGTGGTTGGATTGGGTACGGTACTAATTATAGTTGTTTAAATTATAATTTTGTTCGGTTAGAAAAATTCTGCTTTTTATCTATTTTACCCTTTCTGTTACTTAGGTGACTTAGACTGTTAAAAAATTTTTTTATTTTGAATAGTGTAATCATTTTTTCTGGCTGAAAGACTGAAGATTGTACATGAATTTTTAAATTTTTTAAATTTTTATTTTATTTATTTTCTGATTTTATTTATTTATTTTTATCTTTTTTAAAATTATTATTAGTTTATTTTTGTTACAAATGTTTTTCCTTATTCCACACAGACACCCTGTTTTTTTAATTATAGGAATTTCCAAGCATATACAAAGGAAATTCAGTTTTAACAGTCATCACGTATGACCGGTCTTGTTTAATTTTTATTCTTCTCCTCCATTGCCTTCCATCTAATCCCAAATGGCTTTGAATAAAATCACAAACACTGGATCCTTTCATTGTGTAAATACTTTTGTACTGACTCAAAATTATAAGGACGCTTTTTTAAAAAAATCAGTCGTTATCATGTTAAAAATTAATTTCTTAATACGCAGTTAGTGTTCAAATTTTCTCATAAATACCATTTTACAGTTAGTTTCTCAACTCAGAACCCAACAGAAGTCTATGATTTACCTTTGGATGAACTATCTCTTAATTCTGTTCATATACTGGAACAGTTTCCGTTCCTTTTTTTCCACATGTGACATTGATTCTATAAGTCAGTTGTCTTTTTATTTTATGTAAATTTGTAGTGTAAATTTTAGTGAAATCTGAAGTATGTTTCAAATGTAGGTTACAATTTTTGGCAAGAACACTTTAGACTCTTGAGTTGGTTGGAGAGAGCTTGTGACTGGTACATGTCAGCACTTTTTCTACTTCCTCCAATTGAGTAAGATTTATTTCTCATCACAGTAATGATACTGATTAGAAGGTGAGAGGAAACAGATGTGTATTTATAATGTTATTAAGTATACCTTCATTTATCCAAATTGCTTATTATTATTTTTTGTAATTAGCAGTGTTGAAACAGCCCAAGTCCTTATTTGGCATAAGATTGCCAGACAACCTACATACATTTTTAGTTTTGCCTTCTGAGTCATTGGATTAGGTAATGTATCTGTCTGCTCAAGAGTCTGGCCAGTGTTACTTTCCTAGTAAGGATGATGAAATCCCTGCTGTTAACTTTATACTGGAAATGGTAAGCATAAAATCCATCCAGTCAAAATCTAAACTTGTAACTAATTCTTATGATTTATGTGGAAAATGTTAAGAAAGAAAGCTACCTGTAATAGTCATTCGGTTACAGAGAAAAGAGACTTTAGAAAGCGTGTTCTTTTTTTTTTTGTCATCCAAGGACATTTTTTGATATTTTGTTCAGATAGAGTGGGAGAGAGAGAGAGAGAGAAACATTGATGTGAAAGGGACACATCAAGTGACTGCCACCTGCACGATCCAACCAGGGCCGGAGACAAACGGCAACCGAAGTACGTGCCCTTAGTGGGAACCGAACCTGGGTCTCTCTGGACTGCAGGCCGATGCTCACCACTGAGCCAAACCGGCCAGGGCAGAAAGCATGTTCTTTACTTTTATAAATAAAATCTAGTATTCACTATTATGAATTTTTATGTGTGAATGATAACAGGTCAGATTTTCTTAATCAGTGAAGCCTTCTTTGAAACATCACAAATGAAATTTTTTTTTAAAAGAAAGGAGAATAGTTAATTGAAAAAGTACTCCTAAAATGTATTTACTTGGGACCTGACAACTTTATAAAATGACTTCTTTTTCCTTGAGTATTTATTTCTTATAATGGTGACTATTAGGTAAAAAATACCTCTTAACAGAAAAACAAGTCTGAGAATGTTGATATTTATCTTCATGAAAATATTTTTCTTTTTTGGGTTGACTAGTGAAAGAGTTTATTACTTCTTTATACGTACTGCACTTATTTATGTTCTGTGGTTTAAAATTTTGGTGACTACCTTGGGTCATATGAAATTGTTTTTAATCAATTTCTTTCATACATGAATGCTATTTTCAATGATTGTCTATTGCTTATGAGCTACTTAACACCTTCTGAATATTTTTCTCGTTGATAACGGGCAGGTGAGAATCAAATCATGTAGCTCAGTGCCAGTTCGTTGAATGTCAGAAAGATGTTAGTTTTGCCTTCTTAGTCCACTGGGCATCCTGCATCCTCATTTTAAAATAATAAATAAATAAATAAATAAATAAATAAATAAATAAATAAATAAAATATGCATATCCTAGTACCTTTGGCATTTGTGATGCAATTGTTTCTTTTGCAACATGTCTTTTTCTGTAAGTATTTTCTTTAACAGCTTCTGTAGGTATTTTGAAATGACTCCTTAAATCTGTCTACTTCTCTACTAAGAGGGAGTGTTTTGTTGGATTGAATGGTAATCCTGTATAAAACAGGAACTAAAAGCTGTATATTTACCAGGGTGGTGCTGATTTTGATTCCTTTTATTCTATAACAGAAAAAATAAAACACTGAAGGGGATGTAAAAGTTGCTTTTACAGGCTTTGTATGTACACAAATTCATTAATAGGAAGACACAATTAAGATTCTGTTTGTAAATATTTTCTCCCTATTTATCATAGTTTATTTTTTAAAATTCGAACCAAGATTGGATCTTTTATTTTTGTACATGTTAGTGTTTTGAGTAATATAATGTGATTCCAGACCTCACTGAAGTCTGTAATAAATCAGTGATGGTTTATAGGTGAAGTGAAGCTAATTGATTTGATGATGTCTAGGAGAGTCTGTACAGATAAAAATTTTGTGTATTTTATAAAACTATTTTTTGTAGAACTATTTTTTTATTTTAAGTGTTGAAATTCTCTGTTGAGGGCGTGCTTTTCCAAAAACATTAGTGCACTTTCTTATCATTACAATTATTCGTCTGTGATGGTCCAGTGTTTGGCAGTAGTGTAACTGGCTTGAGTTGCCTGTTTTTCCAATGGCTTTATCTACCCTGATGCCAGTGAAGAAAGCAGAGTGTTCCCTTGGGTGCCGTGATTGTGAAGCGGGAGCAGTTACCTTCTTTCCTGGTGAACCATCTGATGTTATTTCCTTCTGTCTTTACAGATAAGTTATTAGTCCTAACTGTAGCAACAAAAGAAAGTGATGGGTTTCATCGATTTATGCAGTCAGCCAAATACTTCAATTATACTGTGAAGGTATGGTATATCTTTAATATATGGAGATGTTAAAATATGTGCCTAAAGTACATTTTTATAATAATAATAGCAGCAATAGCAACACAGGCTGCAGTCAATAGCAGGAAGCTGAAATTTGATCACACAGTTGCTGTTAAAATTTATATATACTTGATTGTTTTAATGATACATTTTGGCCTTATTAATACACTGCAACTCAGAAAATAATTTTATAATACTTTTTTATGTAATATTTATTTATTCTTGTTAATTTCTTTATGTTTGCTAATGCTTTGCATGAAATGATTATAAATAACAGAAACGTGTATATATGTATCTATTTTTATATTTATATTTCTTTGGGAGGGGAGTCATGTGTATGTCCAACATAACTAAGATTTGACAGTGAGTTTTTGGTCTGCCATAGTGTGTTTCTTTGTGTACAGAGAATTGGAAACATGGCAGAGAGAGATGCCTCTTCTGTCCCATTGTGGAGAATTGCTCTTCCTGTTTTTTGTTTGTTTTAGAGTTTGGGATCATTATAAAAATATAAAAAGGTTTCAGAAGACATCTCCAAGGGAATATCTCATTGATAAGTGATCAGAGGAAACCTGAGGTATTGGGTAGAGCTAGTAAACTGATCTGTGAAAAGCCTTTTAAAAATTTTATTTATTCTTTAATACAAATAAGGGTTTGTTAGACAGTTTTTCACAAATAAGAGGAGAGTGGGGGGGAGGAATTCCAGATAGAAAAACAAACAAATAAATTAACATATTTATTTATTTATTTAATTGATTTTTTTTTAGAGAGAAAGAGTCAGAAAGACAGAGAGACGGAGAGAGAAACATCAGTTTGTTGTTCTAGTTATTTATGCATTCATTGGTTGATTCTTTTGTTTGTTTGTTAACCTCACCCAAGGATACTTTTCTATTGATTTTTAGATAGAGTGGAAGGGAGGGAGTGGGAGAGAGAGACACACACATACACACATTGATTCGTTGCCTCCCACACAACCCCAACAAGGGTCAGGGATCAAACCTGTAACCCAGGTTCATGCCCTTGACTGGGAATTGAACCCAAGGCTCTTTGGTCTGCAGGCCAATGCTCTAACTGCTGAGCCAAACCAGCCAGGACAACATATTTATTAAAAAAAAAATTTATGCACAACCAGTCAACTCGGGCATTAGGCTAGGGAAGGCAGGAGGGGAGTGGGAGTGGGAAGAAGGGGGTCAATGGGGAAAAAAGGGGGACATCTGTAATACTTTCAACAATAAAAAAAAACAAAAAACAAAAATAAAGGTTATAACAAGAGACAAAGAAGACCCAGCAATTCCAATTCTGGGTATTTATCCAAAGAACCCCAAAACACTAAATAAAAAAAACATATGCATCCATATGTTCATTGCAGCATTACTTACAATAGCCAAGGTATGGAAGCAACTTAGGTGTCCATCAATAGATGAATGAAAAAGAAGAAATGGTGCATATATACAATGGAATATGACTCAGCCATAAAAAGAAAGAAATCTTGCATCTGCAACAACGTGGATGGACCTGGAGGGTATTGTACTAAGTGAAACAAGTCAGACAGAGAGAGACAAATGCCATATAATTTTATTTTAATGTGGAATCTAAAAAACAAAATAGATGAACCAGCAGAATAAAAATAGACTCATAGATCCAGAGAACATTTTGATGGTTGATAGTTCGGAAGCAAGTTATCAGGATGGGTGAAAAAGGTGAGGGGATTAAGAAATAGAAGTTGACCTGGCCAGTGTGGCTCAGAGGATTGAGTGTTGTCCCATGGACTGAGAGGTCCCGGTTCGATCCCAGTCAGGGCACATGACCGGGTTACGGACTTGATCCCCAGTGGGTTACTGTCCTCTCTCTCTAAAAAAATCAATAAAAACATATAGAAAAAAAACCACACACACATACACAGAAAAATAGAAAAAGTTATAGAATAGTCATAGAGATGTAAAGTCCAGTGAAGAGAATATAGTCAGTAATATAATAACTATGTTTGGTGTCAGATGGGTACAGTTTTATGGGGGAGATCACTTTGTAAGTTATATAAATGGCTAATTACTGGGTTGAACACGTAAAATAATGTTGTAGGTCAACTGTAATTGAAAAATATTTTTAAAATGGTTCTTATTTCACACAGGTTCTCAAAATGAGTAACAGAGAAAATTATTCATTTATCATTAATCTATGTCATGGAATCTGTAAAAAAAAAATCCATCAAATTTAATTTTTAAAAAATGACAACAAATTTTTATCAGGGCAACTTTGACACCCATTTTTTTTTTTTTTTGTTTTAACATTGAACCTAATCACAAACCTCACTTACAATGAATTGCTTTTATTTCCCCATTTTTATTTTGTAAAATTTCAAATCCTTTTTACTGTATGTAAATTACAACCTCAATTTTTAAAAATTTCATTAAAGAAAAGGGTAAAAAACCTTTTATTCTAATAAAACCACTTCTCATCCCTTTAAAACAAACAAGCAAACAGAAAACACCTTAAAAAGGGGTTGTAGCCTTGCCTAGGGAAAACGTGAGCTGTTTGTCAGGCCGGAGAAGCAGCGGTGTGTCCTGATCGGAGGCCCATGGGGTAACGGGAAAATCAGGGCAAAATCATGCTGCCATTCGGTGCGCGGGATCTTCAGGTCTCGGACTGGGGAGACCAGGGAATGTTTCTTACGTGCGGCACCACATTGGGAGCTTTCTATGTGGTATGCTGTTGGTTCCCTACGGAAACTACGTTCACGAGTGAGGAAAACTTGCCCCAGGGTGCGCAGCTGTGACGTCAGATCTTGGACCCAGTCCGTGGGACTGATGGAGTGTGTGCTCCCTGACGTGCTCCCTTATAAAGTGCATCAGCCCTGGAGTCTCAGACCTCACCTCTGAGCGGGGGGAATCACGAGCTCTGGGAGCAGGACCTGGCGGCGTTTTCAGAACCCACCGTGGGATTCCCACGCGAGCTGGAGCTGGAGCTGGAGCTGGAGCTGGAGCTGGAGCTGGAGCTGGAGAGGGAGCTGGAGCTGGAGCTGGAGCTGGAGCTGGAGCTGGAGCTGGAGAGGGAGCTGGAGCTGGAGCTGGAGAGGGAGCTGGAGCTGGAGCTGGAGCTGGAGCTGGAGCTGGAGCTGGAGCTGGAGAGGGAGCTGGAGCTGGAGCTGGAGCTGGAGCTGGAGCTGGAGCTGGAGCTGGAGCTGGAGCTGGAGCTGGAGCTGGAGCTGGAGCTGGAGCTGGAGCTGGAGCTGGAGCTGGAGCTGGAGAGGGAGCTGGAGCTGGAGAGGGAGCTGGAGCTGGAGCTGGAGCTGGAGAGGGAGCTGGAGCTGGAGCTGGAGCTGGAGCTGGAGCTGGAGCTGGGCTCACTGACTGAGTGCAGTGGAGGGCGCGGAGCTAGGAGAGGGCCCTGAACAGAGAGGCTGTCAGGTGCGGCTGGGCCCAGCCTGCTGTGTGTTGCACAAGTGCAGGAGGGCGTGCGCTTGAGGGAAGTGCAAGGATCTTAGGGCCAGAAGAGGCCTCGTTTTAGGACAAGAACTAAGACACCTACTAGACCCGCCCCAGGATGAATCCAGAGTCACATCGTTTGTGTTCTTGGGCAGCCTTTTCCCCCCAGCCTTCACGAAGTGATAACTGGGATGCTGAGGCTGGTTGTTATTTGGCTCAAAGTTAAGTAAACATGGAACTGATAATATTTATTTTCTAAATTCATTGTATCCTTTTCCTTCCTATTTATTTTTAATTTCATTCCCCCTTAATTTCACAAATTTGCAAGTACACCATTATTTTGGGAACTTCAACCTTTCTTCGGAGGAAACAAAAATGCAAAGTCTGTGTTTGGGGCGCGGACATAAACGTCCAGCTCCCTCCGTCAGGGGGGTGATCCTGCACTTTGGATTCAGGAAGGCAAACAGTACAGAGAGCAGCTCCAGGCTGAGAAGGCGGTGTTTGACTTAACTCCTCCTGTGCTGCCCTCACCAACCCGTTTCGGTTCAGTCGGAAATTGCTCATGGCCCTGTCAGGAGTCACGGAGCTTCAAAGGTGTTCAATATTCCTCATCTAGACTTCCTGCCGATTGGAAAGTGCTGTGGAGTCTTTCTTCATTTTCTTCTTAATCTGAACAGACAGAAAGAAAACATGAGAAAACTTTCTGGGGACCCCCCCCCCATTAGACATTACTTTTGAAATGCTAAAACGAGGAATGGCATGTTATGCAGAATGATGACCTAGGTGTCAAGTTGCTTGCTTTCTAGCATCATGAGTTAATGAAACGTTTAAAAAGTGGTTACTGTCTAATGCTACACAAGCCGCTGCTGACTTCCAGTTTTTACGATACTGTCATTTTAAACGTCACTCAGGGGTGGAATGTTGATTTCCTTTGTAGGTCCTCGGGCAAGGAGAAGTGTGGAGAGGCGGCGATGGGATCAATAGTATTGGCGGGGGTCAAAAAGTGCGATTAATGAAAGAAGTTATGGAACAGTACGCCAATCAAGAGGGTCTGGTGGTCTTGTTTACTGAATGGTAAGAAGTAACCTGTGGATTTTGAAATCTGTATTAAAATTTTTATAAAAAGTTGATATTCATGTGTAGATTGCATATTAAATTGTTGTATTCACAAGGAATCATTGCTTCAAACAGTAGATTTTACTCATGATTATAAAACCACAGTCTGGCATAGTTATGTAGTATGATCGAATCTGATGAGTTACTGTAAACGCCAATGAGAAAACATGGCCTGAGCTCACATTTTCATGAAATCCTGGTTTTAATCTTGATTTAGAGAAGGAATAAAGATCATGTTGAGCATTTCTATCAAGAGTGACTCAGGGGACTCTGGTCCACCAGGTGGAAATAGATCATGTAAAGTTTTAAGTCAGAAATAGGAAAATCAGTGTTTATTAAGAAAGAAAAACCTTTCCAATGTGTAAATATCTTTTTATATGCTACTCTACTTTGATGCTCCTTGATTTTGGGTGTCTACTGTCTCTCTTTCCCTTCTTACATGTGCTTGATGATGTCAGCTTGTCATGAGGGAGTAGTGGTCGCCAACTTCTTTCATTTCCATGGCCTTTTTTCTATTTTCTGTATTTATTCTTAGAGAGAGAGGAAGGGTGAGGGAGAGAGAGATAGAAACATTGATGAGAGAGAACATCCATTGGCTTTCTCCTGAACACCCCCCTAGTGGGGGTTTGGCCTACAACTTGGGCATGTGCCCTGACCGGGAATTGAACCAGCAAACTCTTGGTGCAGGGTCGACGCTCAACCACTGAGCCACACCGGGTGGGCTTCCACGGCCTTTTCAGTTTCTGTGTTTCGATCATTGATTGCTCATTTGAAACCCCCTTGCTCTTCCTCCTCTAATTTAGGAAAGTTTCTTTATCTCTCTTCTTCAATTTGAAAATCTAAAGCCACAAATTATTGCAGATGAAAGTAAGGCTAATGCTTTTTATACAATTTTGTAAATAACAAAGGCATATATTTTGAAAGGAAAATAGACAGTGAATTCCCAGTGCCATTAACACTTAAAAGTTTTTTGTTTTTTTTAAAAATATATTTTCATTGATTCTTTAGAGAGTGAGGAAGGGAGAGAGAGAGAGAGAGAGAGAGAGAAACATCAAAACATCGATGTGCGAGAGACCCATCGATCGGCTGCCTCCTGCACACCCCCCATTAGGGATCAATCCCTGCAACCTGGGCATGTGCCCTGACTGGGAATCGAATCAGAACCTCTTGGTCTATGGGATGACTCTCAATCCACTGAGCCACACCAGCGGGGCAACACTCACAAGTTCTGGAAGTGTCTGTATACTTGCATTTCTTAAATTTCCCTAATGTCTTGAAAAAAAATTAAGTTTTGCTTCTAGTAACCTATTCTCGCAACATGATATGTAGCATAGCTGGTGTTAGCTTGTGTGTTGGGAGTTTTTCTATTATTAAAAAGTTTTCACCCTTGGCAAAAGAGTAGGAGGCTTATACTGTGTTTAGGTTAAATACTGAGTATGTTTTGGTTTCAAATTACTGTGGATTTCAAACAACAATTTTGGTCAGCTTGAACTTAACCATATGTTGATCTCAGTCTTGACCTTGAGGCAGATTCTCTTTCTAAACGTTACCACCCAGCACATACTAGACAGTGCTGGTTTTAGGAAGCACTTGCCCTCTGTCTCACCCCATCCCATGCCCTGTCCTCTCTCCCTCATCTAAGACTTAGACTTGGAAGAAACTGCTTTAACAAGAAACAATTTTGTTTGTTTTGTTTTGTTTTTTTGTTATTCCTCACCCAAGGATATTTTTCAATTTATTATTATTATTTTTAGAGTGGGAGGGAGGGAGAGACAGACAGACAGACAGACATGGATGTGAGAGAGACGCATCAATCGGTTTCCATGACCCCGACCACGGCAGGGATCAAGCCTCAACCGAGGTACATGCCTTTGACCGGGGATCAAACCCGACATCTGATGCTCTAACTGCTGAGCCAAATGGGCCAGGGCAGGAGCCAATTTGTTTCTAATGAGGAAAGGATGCAGATATCTGACGACTGCTTGGGGTTGCATCTGTTTATTTAGATGATACTTTTAGATCCAGTTTGATAAAAAAGACTATAATACAGTTTTAATGGAAGGTCAGTGTGTACCAGGTGCTGTTAGTGTTTGGCCTGTATCAGTGAACCAAACAGACGTTTCTGACAACTTTCCTTGGGAGAACAGCCAGCTAACTAAAAACATGCAGACTCACCTCAGCCAAACCACTGTCTAAGAAGGATCGTTAACACTTTCTTCATCACCCACCTCTGTCCTGGAAAAACCTAGTGGTGATGAGCCAGTAACCAAGGAAACAAGGGGTGGATGGTTTAGAGCTTTTTTCTCTCTCTCTTTTTTAAACTATACCCTTTTTAAAAAGGATCGTATACAGAATGATCAATACGATAGAAAATTATGGAACGATGAATTAGGTTGTTTGTACATTTTTTGAAATAAGATACTCATTCTATAATAGAATTGCCAATCTCCTAATTAAGTTCACATCTGGATAAGGTTAGAATTCAGAATACATGAATTTTAATAAATTAAACTCCTATTTCTTACGTAATTTTTTTAGGGCCGTTCCACTGTGATAGTTTTATGGAAGCATGGGTCACTGCCATGTGGAAAAAAACACACAAAGACTTACGTACTTCATGGTTTAGATAGGCTTCTTTAAACAATAGCTTTATTAAGCTTTAATTTATATACCATGACATAACTGATTTTAAGTGTTAAATTTAGTAATTTTAGTAAATTGACAAGAGTTGCGCAATTATCGTCGGTACTCAATTTTAGAACATTTCCAATACTCCAGAGTAATCCCTTGAGCTCATTTTGATGGGCTCTTGTGAGCTAATTTAAACACAATTTTATTTGTTAAAATTAATATTTGTTTAAATTACTTTAAAGAAGGTAACTGGCATATTGGATTTTAAATAAGGTGCTTTGCATTACTTTTAGAATTATCTTCCAAAGCATATATTTCTTTTATGCTAGTCACATTGATGGCTGATAGACTGAATTATTATATGGTGACATTTTTTTTTTGTTTTATTTTGCTTTTTAGCATTGTATTATATGTAGGCCAATATGTAACAAGAAGTGTTTGAGCAGTTGTGAGCAAACTTGGTACATACTGAATATTCCTGCACACTTATTCTGTGTTGAATACAGTGAAATAAATATAAACCAGCAGAGCGCAGATCCTAAAATTAGCATGTGGAAGAATCCTTTTGAGTATCAAATAAATGTCTAATAAAAACTTTGGGTTTTTTGTTTTATTCCTTTTATTTTAGACTCAAGAAAATTCTTTAGAAGAAAATTAGTTGAAATAAAGTTGGTGTAATTATCTGAATAAGAATTTAGACTGAGCAGACATTTATATTTTTTGGTGGTACTAAGTATTACACCATTAATCAGAACGCAAATACGCTCCTTTTTAAAAGGCTCCAAATTTATGAAACTTTTGAACAACATATTCAGTGGTGGTTATTTGCCTCACCAAAAGGAGTATTTCCTCTATGAAAACGTCTACCCAGTTATTTTGGTGTATGAAACTCTTGGTTCATTTAGATATTTGTTGAAAGATGATTAACTAAACTGACTTTGTAATTGATAGGCTATTGCTAACTAATGATAGCAGTAAAGAAGACTACTAGAATGCCATTTAAACGAGAATGGTAGTCAGTGTTACCATACAAAAGTTAATATAGAATTAAAAAGAATATAAAATAAAGCCATTACTATAGTAGTTCTCTAGCTGGCTCTGGTTTGGGAGATTGACCAAGACTGAAAATCTCCGTCACACAAATCTTCGCCGTTAGGGTGTGTGCGTTATCAATACGACCCTATGGGGCTGGCTTCAGTTCACTTACCAAGTCGACTTGTTTGTATGTTTCAGACAGTGAAGTGGGGGGGGGGGGGGCGGGGGAGCTATATCTGATTTATATGTTGTCAGGGTAAATAGCAAGGAATCAATAAATATTAGGTACCAGTAAGTTGCACTAAAAGAGGAGAAACAGAACTTTCAAGAGGGAGAAATATGGTGGATGCTCTGAAACTAATTTTAAAGATTGTTCTTCCTTCATTTGGAAAAACTAAATTACTCACAAAAGCAGGAACACATTCAAATTTTATTAATCTCAAAGATTGAAACTATGAAAATCATGCTCTTGGTTCTGCTCTTTCATGGAAGCTAGTACTGTTTCATTTGGCTGCTAATTCAACATTATTTTGCTTAACGAGTGAGATCTTTAATATACACGTGTTTAATGTATATATTTCGAGCACAAACTATGGTCTATGCATTGAACTTAACATCACAGAAAAAGAGATCAACACAGATCCCACCCTCAAAAAATTCTCATATTATACTAATTCTACAAACAAAACTGAACAAACCTAATTTGGAAGAAAAAGGTATGTTTTTTTTAAAAAACATTGAATATTAGCATAATCTCCTTAGACTCATTTACTTGTAGAAAATTGCGAAAGATTACTTTATTGATCATTTTGCTAATTGTGAAAATATTTGTATGATTTTGTTATTGTCATGAGTATAATTTATATGTATTAATTCTTTAGCTAATCAAATTTCTATCTTATTACATTCTACAAAATAAACATTTTATGCCTCTCATAATTCAGGTTACTTACCCAGCATGCCTCCATAGTCTTACATGGTTTATACGGAAGACAGAGGAAATATTTTTCTAAAGCAAAGCTTTTCAAGTATGATAGCTATAATTTTAACACACTGTGCCAGCTTTATTTGACAGACTTCTTCATCCAGGCAGCGGTGACAATTTAAGTGTGCAGACATGAAGAGCCCAGTCATCAGCGATGGACAACATTTCATTACATTCTGAAGAGGGAAAGCCAAAACACATCAAAAGCAGCATCTCTGTGCTGCTTTTCCCCTTCTTTTTGGAGGAAAAATTGAGTTATTAGCTGTCAGAATAGTGAAACATGTTTAGAAATTATATAGGAAATGAATGATTTATTTTTTTCAAGTAGTTCAGATGTTCTTAATATTTACTGAGTGCGTTAGTGGGTATGTTCGAATGAGGAAGAAACAAATTGTATGCAAAAGATGCATTGGGTGTTGATGTATATTGAGATTGATGTATGGTACTCCTGTATGACAGTAATTTGTCTATTTTATGTGTGTGTATATGTGTGTGTGTATATATACATATGTGCATATGTTTATATATGTATATATCCCTCCCAAACCTGATTGTTTACTCCTTGAATTTAGATTTTTTGAGTAAGTATGTATTAAGCATGTGTTAAATAAAACAAGGGGGACTGACTGGGGAAGAAACCTTGCCCTCTGGATACATTTTTCTACCCCTAGCTTTCTAAATGTTGTATCTGGAGTTTGTAGTTACATAATAATACATTCTAGGGACTAAAAATAGGTTTCTTTATTTCTTTTAAAAATTTTTCTTTATTGATTTTTTGAGCGAGAGGAAGGAGGAGAGACAGAGAGAAACATTGATGAGAGAGAACATCAATTGGCCACCTCCTGCATGCCCCCATTGGGGATCAGGCCCACAACCTGGGCATGTGCCCTGACTGGAAATCGAACCAGCGACCTCTTCATGCATGGGTCGATGCTCAACCACTGAGCAACCCAGGTGGATGGTTCCATTCCCGGTCAGGGAACATACCCAGGTGGACGGTTCCATCCCCGGTCAGGGCACATGCCAGGTGGACAGTTCCATCCTCGGTCAGGGCACATGCCCAGGTGTACAGTTCCGTCCCTGCGGGACACGTGCTGGAGGCACCCAATGGATGTTTGTCTCTCATATTGGTGTCTCTCTCTCTCTCTCAAACCAATTTAAAACAAAAACGTCCCTACTTTGTATAAGCTGATTCCTTTCATTTTCTCCAAAATTCGTAGAATAATTTAATCATCCTCATTTTGGAAATTTAATTTAATTATTTCCACTGTGATTTTATTGTAATTTATTCTGCAGGTTCAACTGGGTAGACATTTTTAACTGTTTTTATTTTTTGTTTGGTGGGGGGGGCTGTGAGGGTGGTTCCATAACATTGTTTGTAGTAGCAATATCTACGGAAATAGATATGTATTTAAGGTGAAGACATGGTTAAAGCCAGAATCCAGGTGGGTTGCTACTTGTATTCTTCATTGTCATTAATGTTACGCCTGTAAGTACTAGCTGCAAATGGTTTGGATGCTTGTAACGTTGGCTTAAGTTCATATCAGTGATGATAAAGCAGGTGTTGGATTGGAGAGGAACAGACTGAGGGTTAGGGAACTCTGCTGTTACTTTCTTTTCCTAGATACCCAGTTGCTTTTGCTTCTTGTTGAAATGTGGGATTAATTTGTTCATTCGCTTTTTCAACAAATATTGACTATCTTTGAGATACTAGGCTAGAGGAATATCTAGCTGAATTGAGGGTCTGGCATATATGCCGTCTGGTCCCAGCAGAAAATGAAATGTTTCATGAAAGGGGACAGGAAAGAGCTGTGGGGGTTAAGAGGAAGGAAGTGATCTTTTTTATTTACGCTGATGAAGTTCAGGTTTGAGGGGGGGGGACCTTAGGGGTGGGCCTCGAGGTTGAGTGGTTTGGGCCTGTTTGAGAAGACACGTGCTGAGAGAGGAAACACCATGAGGAAAGACATGGGTGACAGGTAGGTAATTTAGTTTGGCTTCAGAACAGGCTGTTTAATGGCAAGTTATTAATGTGAGGTCATTCATTTAGGACTGTTCTGCGGGCCAGTGTGGGTGACTGTGGTCCGGCCCACTGCCTGTGTTGCAAACAGTTTTACTGGAGCACAGCTATGCCCACTTGTTTACATATTTCCCGTGCTGCTTCCTATGCTGCTTCTGCAACAGGACAACCGAGGGTCACTGCAGCAGAGACCGCATGGTCCCTCGAGCACCAGCAGTCTCTCTGGGGACAGGCACAGAATGGCTTCAGGGGAGGCGTCGGTCCTTATGAGAAGTGGAGGGGGGTGGGTCATGTGGAGTCTTGTGGGGTTTTTGAATCAGTCTGGTCCAGGGAGTGGAGAGGACTTGAGTGCTAAGTAGATTAAGTGTGTGGAATCAGTAGGATTTGGCAGAAGATTTGAAGAGAAGGCTAAGGAAAGAGAGGAGGCAAGGTTGCATGAAAGATTTTCAGTTTGGGTGGCTGTGTGGTCGGTGGTGCCAAAGAAATGGAAGACAGAAGGACAGATGGTCGTGGAGTTTCAGTGACCTGTTGGAGACAGAACAAAACCAGTCTGTAGAACGCTTAGTATGACCACATAAGGTGAACACCAAGGGCTTTTGTAGGACCCAGGAGTATTTTCCACAGGTGGCTGTGGAAATTTTGTTCTTCATATTTAAATGCACTGAAGTCCTATGAGAATGCTTTATTTTACTTTTTGCATTAAAAAAACAACAAAAAATCTTGACTACTTGGTTTTTTGAGGTCAAAGTTATCTTAAATAGAAAAACTTAAATTTTTTTTTAATTGATTCAAAGAAGTTTTCTAAAGTACTTAAACACAGCAATATCAGTGGCAGTAGAATAAAATAGAAATATTTTGACCACCTTAAATTTTTAAAAAAATCAAATTATTTGAATTATGCGACTGAAATATCTTGCCTTCACTGTTGGCTTTAAAATAATTACTTTATGTGATAAAGGTAACACATGCTTATAAAGTTTTAAAAGTCAAAGTTGCGAAGGCTCTTCCTTTGTAAACCGTTGATTTCTGTTAATAGTTGGAGATACACTGTGTCAATTTTGTGTCCTCCACTAGGGTTACAGTGTCAGGAAACATTCCCTTTGCACTGTGTGTTTATACCTTTGAATACACGATGCTGCCTGCAAACACGTTTGGATCAGTTTGGCCCAAGTGTCCACTGTTTGGGTTCTCTGACACAATAAGCTCTTCCTGTCCGTCTCCAGACAGCGTGCTGGGTTCCTCTGTGACTCATCTGACAGTCTCAGTCCCCGACGATTTGTTTTATTTGCTTCGCCTTTCCCTGCTTAATTACCCGTAAAACTGATCTTATTTCCTAATCTTCAGTATTAAAAATTATATCCACAACTACTAGTCTGGAGGAAAATGCCCTTGTTAGAAAAGATAAGATTATCTAAGGAGGCAGATTTTGAAAGTCATCCTACTGAGGAAATCACTTGTCCTTATTTATAAGAAAAAACAGAAACTCGATATATTTATGTCAATATTATTTTGTGAAATCAGATTAATACAGTTTTTTTTTATATAAACAGGGAAAACTGGTTCAAAGTTTTAGTTAGAAAACCTTTATTCTGATTAAAATGTATCTGGCTAAAAATAAAATTATTTTAAAGTACAGATTGGTGTAAACTCGAAGGAAACTTTTTTCTCCCGCCTCTCTCCTTCTTTCAGTCCCTTTCTTCTTGTAATACTATTAATTTTTGTTAATTTTATTGATTGTTTTAATGTATTCTTAATTTTTATTTATTTTTTACTATAACTCGATGAGATAAGTGCTATTTTCTCTTCGATTTTATACAAAAGAACGGGAGCATACAGAGGTTAAGTGACTGACGTGGTAAAGTTACCCAGATAGCAAGGTGTGGAGCTGGGATTAGACACCCATCTGGCTGACTTAAAATGATACGTCATCAGTCACTTTATGATTATATTTTAATAGTACTAACAATTTATTGCCTATCGTTCTGGATTAACGAAAAAACTATGTACCAAAACATACATACAGATTTATGTTTTAATTTTCAGTTGTTATTTTACTGTAATTAAAATAAAGAAGGATGATAATGTTTAAATTCTCTAGAACAATTTAAAATGAAATCTAATTTAAAATGAAAAGAAATAATCTATGTCTCTGATCCCAACCCTATTGTTACAATTTAAAAAATTGTTTAGGCAGAATTACTAAATTGTGTTGCACATTGACAACATTATAATTCTCTCTCTTGTTTTAAGATTCAGAAGTAGACTATATAGTGAGGGTGTGTATGTCAAGTATTTCATAAGGTCTGGTTTACCATGAAGGGAAGAAAGAGAGAGGAAGCAGAAAGCAAGCAACTTGCTTGTTTATTTTTTCTTTATTGATTTTAGGGAGAGAGGAAAAGAGAGGGAGAGAGAGAGAGAAACATCAATTGACTGCCTCCTGCATGCCCCCCACCAGGGATCAGGCCCACAACCTGGGCATGTGCCCTGACTGGGAATCGAACCCGCTACCTCTTGGTGCATGGGTCGATGCTCAACCACCAAGCCACATAGGCCAGGAGAAATCTTTAGAAATTATAATGAATGGGTACAAATTAAATTGAAACATTAGGTAGTTACACTGGTAACTTCTGTCGATGATTGTGTCTATATTATTAAATTAGATGGCAAGCTACTGATATTTTAACATTTCAACACTGTTTTAAAATTTTGATTTAGGAAAATAAGTGATTATTGAAGAAAATAATAAGACTAGTACTAAAACAAGTTGTTTCTTATTTGGATGGACCTCAATTTCCAATATAATGCAAACACTAATAATTTAATGCAGTTAGGGCGAGGAAAAATTGTTTGGTGTACCCTCTAAATAGTTTGTATTAATTTCATGTTGGAGTCTAAATTCTGACTTCTTTAGAGATGGTTTTGTGGTATATGTGCCTAAATTCCAAGAAGTGTATTTTTTTTTTTTTTGTATTTTAAAACTGTTTCCCTTCATTAAACAGCTTTGATGTCATATTTGCTGGTGGTCCAGAAGAAGTTCTGAAAAAGTTCCAAAAGTTAAACCACAAAGTGGTCTTTGCAGCAGATGGAATTCTGTGGCCAGATAAAAGACTAGCAGACAAGTATCCTGTTGTGCACATTGGGAAACGCTACCTGAATTCCGGAGGTGGGTAACAGACTGGCAGAAAGCTGTAATGTAAGTTATAACAAATTATAAATAATTATGAAACAACCTTTTTTTTTTTGGTATGTGTAACTATAGACATAGTTTTAAATAATCATTATCATATTACTATGGAAAAATTATATCAGTTTAAAATTCACAGTGCATTTTATAGCTGAAAAAGCATTTTTCCATATGTGTTATAACATATAATGCCCCTAAGAACACTAGACAGTGTGTCATTATTTCCAAAGTATATGTGAGAAAACCCATGTTCCCCAAATTTAAGTGACTTCTTTGAAAGACATTCTGTTGTTAGTGGAAAAGCTATAAGAACCCAGGTCTTCGGATTGTAGTGTCATTGAGAATTTTCTGACTGTAGGACAATGCATTTAGTAAATTCTCTATTTTAGGAAACCATGCAAGCTACAATCATGTAGCTTTAAAGAATAGGCATTGCTTAATTTTATCTGTACTTTAAATATATTGGCATAAATGAGTAATTTTTCTTGAAGTCACTAGTCAAAAAGATTCAACTTGCAGTGTCTGGTATATTGCAAATGTTGCGTTAACTGTGCCACCATGGATTCAAGGAACAGATGATCACATTTCTTCCCTCCTTTCAAAACATCAAGTACAGTTTGACTTTGGATATTATGTGTATACTAAAGTTTTCTTAGACCGAGATTAATGTAAACACATGGCCAGAAGGTAGAATCGAGCAGGAGGGGGACATGCTAGACATGCATGCCTCATTGGGAGAACAGATATTTTTGAGTGGTGTACATATCTGTATATAACTGATACTGTTCAGCCTGGTTCGCATAACTGCTGCTTTAGAGTGAAACCTTTAGCCAGTAGTTTGCATTCTCTGAGATGCCTCAGTTATAGCTCTATTCATCTGCACTTTTTTTTTTTAAGTAACTCATTCCCTTTTTTTTTTTTTAATCCTCACCGGAAGACATTTTTGCATTTATCTTCAGATAGAGCAGGCGGGAGAGAGGGAGGAAGAGAGAGAGAGAAACATCGATGTGACAGAGACACATGGAGTGGCTGCCACCCACACGACCCCAACCAGGGCTGGGGACAAAGTGCAACCGTGGTACGTGCCCTTAGCGGGAACCAAACCCGGGACTCTCTGGTCTGCGGCCGACACTCTAACCACTGAGCCAAACGGCCAGGGCTGTAACTCATTCTCGTGGTTGTACCCTGGAACTCTGATAGCCGACGTAAATGCTACACTTCTAAAGCCTTAAAAATCAGTTTGTACTTCCAAGTTTTAGCTCACCGTTTCTTTCCATCTCAGGACAGCGACACTTCAAGTTTTGGGGGATCTCCTGACCATTTTGTTTTCTCCTAATCTGTCTCCCTACCACCTTTGGATTGTGCTTCTCTGTTCACACCAGAGCCTGGGGCTTGTGCTGTCGGTCCCTCCACCCTCGTCGTCTCAGCAGCTCCCCTCAGAGGCCAGCCCCTGTGCTCCCGAGCCCTCAGGAGGATGCCCACTCGCCTTCCGGCCGAACACACGGGCTGTGACCGGGCCGCCTCTGTCTCCACGCTGCCGGGCCCTCAGCACAACTGATCTTTAAGTTCTCATTGAGTCCTAGATAATTTCCAAACTGTTTAGCTGTGGAACTCGGTGAAGTTTTATTTTATATTTACTACTTTTTTCCTAACATAGCATGCATAATGAAATACATATATTTATCTAGATCATAATATAGCTACTCAGGAATTTAATGTCAGATAGATGCACAATACTATAGACATAGCAAAAACAATAAAATAAAATCCCAAACACAAAACAACAACAACAAAAAACTACCAAGTGAGTGCCTTTGTGAGCAGGTTTAATTATGAAAAAGTTGCTCATCAGTGAAAAAGAGATCATACAAGGACAACAAAAATAATGCTTATGATTTTTTGTAGTAAAATAATTAAAGAGATGGTAGAAAAATCTAAATACATTCAATAAAAGTTTATGTAATTTTATGAATGATATATGGAGAGTTATTTTAAGGGACATTAGTTTTGTCTCTGGGTCCATCATTCAATTACAAAAGTCTTTATCATTGAGAGTAAACCTATTTCTTTATAAGGAAAATTTCAAATATGAGAAACTTGATCGATTTGAAATAATGTGGCAGTTTAATAGAAAAATATAAATCATATAAACTATATATCACATACTCTGAACATTGATGTGTATTTGACCATTGGACTTCTGGGGTTCAGTGCACTGATCCTTGTGCATTCAAAAATTCACATGTACCTTTTGACTCCCCCAAAACTTCAGTAGTCCCTCAGTATCCAAGGGAAATTAGTTCCAGATAGCAAAATCCACGGGTGCTCAAGTCTCGTATGAAATGGCATAAAACAGTGCCTACAGTTGGCTGGCCACATCTGCGGATTCTCGACCTTGGGTCAAAAATACTGGTTTCCGCCCTGACCGGTTTGGTTTAGTGGTTAGAGCTTCTGCCTGTGGTCCAAAGAGATCTGGGTTCGGTTCCTGCCAAGGGCATGTGCTTCGGTTGCAGTTCGTTTCCAGCCCCAATTGGGGTCGTGTGGGTGGGGGCCAGTTGATGTGTCTCTCTCACATCGATGTTTCTCTCTCTTCCTCCTTCCCTCCCTCTTGCTCTATCTGAAGATAAATGCAAAAGAAGTGTCCTCGGGTGAGGATGAAAAAAAAATACTGGTTTCCATCTGCAACTAGTTGCATTCATGGATAGGAAACCCGGGTATAGAGGGCCAACTGTATATTTATTTATTATTATTTAATTAAAATTTTTTTATTGATTTTAGAGAGAGAAGAAGGGAGAGGGGAGAGAGAGCTAGAAACATTGATGAAAGAGAACATCAGTTGGCCGCCTCCTGTATGACCCCACTGGGGATCAGGCCCACAACCTGGGCATGTGCCCTGACTGGGAATTGAACCCGCCATCTCTTGGTGCAGGGTCGATGCTCAGCCACTGAGCCACACCCGCTGGGCTGTATATTTACTGGGAAAAAATCCACCTCTAAGTGAACCTGTGTAGTTCAAATTCATGTTGTTCAAGGGTCAACTATAATCCCTTTTCATTTTTTTAAGGATGTTAGGGACGTAAAAAAAGATAATGAAACATAATTTTTGAAAAACAGTAATATAAACCATTGAAAATGTCATGTTCTACTTGCATCTATTTTTCATTGGAGAAGATTGATCACAGTATTAAAAACAGCATCTTTCAGTGTTTTACGATTTTTTTATTTGGCAAAAATAACAAAAATGACCAACCAGTGATTGGTGTAGCCATGTTTTCATTTTGTTTTATTTTCTCTAGGTAACATAAATGTTGCTGGACCTATTTCTTTTAATTCTTTTATTCTTATGAGGGCATTTTAACATTGAGGGTAAAAAAATTGGTTTCTTTAATTCACAGGAGTAAAATTGGTCTCTTAAAAAGTATCGCATGTCAATGAGACACAGTTTGGCTACATTTCTGAACGTCAGAGGAAGACTCAAACCAGGGAAAATGATCCTGTTGTCTGTTTTTTATAGACAGCTGTTGTTGGCAAACTCAGGGCTTATGTTCTGAGGCCAAAGGGAACAATCCAATTTTAGATTTCCTTTCTCCAGACTGACCCACAAAAGAGAGCCAGAAAATGGTTTAGCAGGTACAGTGATGACTAGCTGAAGTAAAGGAAAAATCCCCCAAATGTCCTCCATATAAATTTTCTCCGGGATGTTTGCAGTCAGTGACAAATCCAACATTCCTTTGATTGCGCTAGCGTCTCTGGCACCGGCATGAAAACCACTCTAGTAGAGATTTCCTTTTTTCAGAAACAGTGACTCCTGTATGAAGGATCCAGGAAGAGCATTTTAGAAGGTCAGAAAGAGAATTCTCTCTAGTCTCTCCTTTTCCAGAAAGAGAATTCTCTCTAGTCTCTCCTTTTCCTAGTAACTGTTTCCCTGTGCACCTTGGAAAATATTAGTTCCCCCTCTTGTGTAAGTTAATTTTGGGACTTTGTTTATTCAAAGAATCTTTGATTTGTAGTTGGTGCTAAAATTCACTCTGTAGTAATTAACATATAAAACAAAGGACTCTCAATAATTCTTTAAAAAAAATTTTCTTTATTGATTTTAGAGAGAGAGAAAGTGAGAGGGAGAGAGAGAGAAACATCGACGAGAGAGAACAGCGATACCCAATAGTTCTCATTTCTCTCATGGTGACCTGTGATGCTACAGCCTAAGGATTGGACCTAATGGGATTATAACTGTGCGCTGGTCAGTGGAATTAACACAGACATCATTTTGGTGTTTGAATACTAAGCTATTCTCTTTCTGGTATTGCAGGATTTATTGGTTATGCGCCATCTATCAACCGTATAGTTCAACAGTGGAATCTCCAGGATAATGATGACGATCAGCTCTTTTACACTAAAATTTACATCGATCCACTGAAGAGGGTACGTAATGGCTCCTGCTCCCGTTTTTAGTGCACCCCTTGTCCAAGGAGGCGTCTGGAGCTTCCCGGCAGGCAACAGGCTGAAGAATGCACAGGGACCATCTCAGTCTTGCCAACTTCCTTCGCACGACGCATTGTTCTTTCATCGCAACATATTTATGTGGCAATACAGAACTTGCAGAGGAAGTGTTGTCCTTTACGTCAAGCACATGTGTCCTGCTAGAAATCTGAATTCTGTAGTTACAGGGGGGTTGGGGGGCATGTGACCATCCGTGGTCTGCCCCAGGCCCCAGAGAGAACATTCCTGAGACTGATTTAAATGAAACTTTGGAGAAAATTAAAACCAAAGCTCTCCAATTTAACAATATTTTTAGTCATTGACCTCATATATGTTAATTGTTCATAAGTGGACTATGTATCATAGTTTAAGTTCTAAAAGTGATGAGTTGCGTATTTGCGGGTGCTGTCATTAGGGAATAAGGGTTTTTGAAAGTACATGTAACAGTGGATTTGCAACTAACGTGGTTTCTGTTTCTTAGATAAGTACTTCAGTCGTCTAAATATTTTCATTAGACCTCAATACTTCAGAAACCTTATTCTTAAGCTATTTATTTTTCTTCATCTCTGTATGTGACTGTCCCTCGCCTGTGCCGGGCATAACAGGCTGAAGGACTTGGGCTTGTGTCTGGGGAGAAACCTGCTCTTTTTAAAAAAATGTTTTTCCCTTTATTAATTTTAGAGGGAGAGGGAGAGAGAGAGAGACAGAAACATCAATGAGAGAGAACATCGACTGGCCGCCTCCTGCATGCCCCTCGACTGGGGATCGGGCCCACAACCTGGGCCTCTGCCCTGACCAGGAATCGAACCAGTGCACTTGGTGCAGGGTCAACCACTGAGCCATGCTGGCGGGATGAGAAACCTGCTCCGGTGTGCACGCTGGCCCCATGCAGCATGGGGCCCATCTTTTCTTGGTGTCGCTCAACTGGGAAAGGGCTGCGAGTCTTACTGAGTTGTCTTGGCGTTAGGGTGCTTCTTCATTGTTGGCTCTACAATGTTTTTGGTTGTCTAACCTGCTTAAGTTTCTCTCTAAGCACAAGATTGCATCTGGTTGGCATGTGTCTTAGTCTGCTTGGGTTGCCATCACAAAATGCCACAGACTGCGTGGTCTGAACAGAAGAAATGTGTTGCTCGCTGTTGTGGAGTCTAGACACCTGAGACAGGGTGGCCAGGGTGGTCAGTTTCTGGTGAGAACTCTCTTCCTGGCTTGGGGCTGGCCATCTTCTCGCTGTGTCCTCAGATAGGGGAGCTAGAGGAAGAGAGAGAGACAGAGAAAGAAAGAGGAGGGGAGGGGGAGAGAGAGTGAGAGAACGCACAGGTGCGCAAACTCTTTTATTTCATCTTAAAAGGGCAACATTCTCATCACAAGGGCCCCACTCTCGTAACCTGTATTTAACCCTCCTTGGGGTTAGGGCTTCAACATATGAATTTTGAAGGGACACAGATACTCAATTCATAATAGCATGCAAAGACAGTTTTAGAAATATTGCTATGACAGAGCCATGTAGCTGAAAAACTGGTGCCCTGAGAATCATTAGGTTTGTAAAGCAGATTAATCTTCACGATTGGATTGATTAGTTGCCAACCTATTGGGGCATCCAGGCAGTGTACGCTGAGATAATCACCCCCAAGCTCGGCAGTTTGACACAGCGGAGGTTTGTTTCTCCTGCTGCATGGCCGTTATCAGTCAGCAAGGGTTTCTGCTCAGGGTAGTCACTTTGGGACCCTGGCTGATGGAGCAGCCATCCCCAACCTTGCTGGGTCGCGGGCCAGAGGGAAGGAGCACACTTAGGGTCTCGAACTGGTAATGACCTCCCCAGGTGGGAAGTGATTCCTCTTACTTCTGCTAGCAATTCACTGGTTGGATTAGTCAGAAGGTGGAGATGTGGAAATACTTGGAGAACAGCATAAATGCTTTTCCATACACTCTATCCCCTAATTGAATCAACCATAAAATTATGGTCTTTCTGAAGAACATTGCTGGAATAATTTACGTACGGGAATTAAAAATATTTTACAAAAAGAACAAACCATATTACCATGATAGTGTTGTTTTTCGTCCTTGTTGTCATTTTTAATACTATCTCTGTTCTTATTTTAGGAAGCTTTTAACATCACGTTGGATCACAAATGCAAAATTTTCCAGGCTTTAAATGGAGCTGTAGGTATGCTTCCAAAATACCGTGTTGCTCGTGTGCACAGATGGACACTGGTGTTTTCAGCTGTCTGCTTTGGTATAACCGTTTTGGGGCCGTGCCTAAGGTTTACTGTGTAGATATTGCAACTTTAAAAAATCCGGACTTGAGCTTATTGATATAGTTAAATATATTCCGTTAAAATCTTTGCCTGAGACTGATGCAAAAAAAGATAAGCTTCTGGCCTTAGGTAACTCAGAATTCAATGTCTCACTGTCTGGGACTGTGGATGGATTTTAAATTACTACACCTACTCTTTCACATTTTTCATGATAAGTTCTCTGTATTGTGAGTTACTCAGGAAGGGTAGCGTGTGAGAGTTTTTTCACTTAGCTGAGAGGTACCTGGTAACTGGGCACATTCACTGTAAAGAGTGTGTATGTGTGTGTGTTTCCCTAAAATAGACATATATCTTGATGAAATACACAAATACATTAAAATTAAATAAACAGTACATAAATATTGACATATTAATTCATTAGTGCATTATACTTAACATTTAAAAATACATTACAGCCCTGGCCGATTTGTCGCAGCGATTAGAGCGTCCGCCTGCGGTCCTGAGAGACCCGGGTTCGGTTCCCGCTAAGGGCGCGTACCTCGGTTGCAGTTTGTCCCCGGCCCTGGTTGGTTGTGCGGGTGGCAACCACTCGATGTGTCCCTTCACATCGATGTTTCTCTCTCTCTCTGTTCCTCTCTCTCCCTCCCACTCTACCTGAACAAAAAAAAAAAGGAAAAATGTCCTCGGGTGAGGATAAAAAAAAAAAAATACATTTCAATCCAAGACAATGCTTCAAGGCAGTGCACAGAGTAACAGGATGCTCAGAAGGAAAGAATGTAGTTTGCAGTGCTCAGGAAATGTGAGGGAAGAATCATGAAAACAAACAAAAACACCCTTCTGCTCCATCGGACTTGTATCTTCCCGAAATTTACATTAAGCCTGATTTTTCTCTTTTTCATTTTTGTTGAATTAATTGGGGTGACACTGGTTAACGAACTTGTACAGGTTTTTGTGCGCAGCTGTACAACATAGTCTGTACACTGTACTGTGTGTTCACCACCCCAGGTCACGTCTCCGCCCGTCACCATTGATCCCCTCTGCCCTCCTCCACCTCTCCCGCCGCACCTTCCCTCTGGCCATCATTCTGCTGTCTGTGTCCAGGAGTTTTTTTTCTTTTATTGCTCAATTCCTCCACCCCCACCCCAGCCCACCCCTGACAGCTGACAGCCTGCTCTCTATGAGTCTGTCTCTATTTTGCTTGTTTAGTTTATTCTGTTCATTAGATTCCACATATGACTGAAATCATATGGTACTTGTCTTTCTCTGACTGGCTTATTTCACTTAGCATAATGCTCTCCAGGCCCATCCGTGCTGTGGCAAAGGGTAAGACTTCCTTCTCTTTGACGGCCAAGTAGTATTCCATTGTGTAAGTGTATTGTAACTTTTTTATCCACTTACCTGCTGATGGACACTCGGACTGCTTCCAGATCTTGGCTATTGTAAATAACGCTGCAATGAACATAGGGTGCATATATTCTTTCAACTTAGTGTTTAAGTATTTTTAAGAAATAATCCCAGAAGTAGATTCACTGGGTCATAATCCTCACCCGGGGATATTTTTCCATTGATTTTTCTTTTTTCTTTTTAGAGTGGAAGGGAGGGAGAGAGAAAAAGAGAGAAAGAGAGAGAAAAACATAAACTTTGATGTGTCCACATCGATTGGTTGTCTCCCGCACAGCCCTGGGGCCAGGGGTTGAATCTGCAACCCAGGTACATGCCCTTGACTGGGAATTGAACCCATGACCCTTGGTTCTGCGGGCCCATGCTCTAACCTCTGAACCCAACCGGCCAGGGCCATTTTTAATCTTTGAGGCAATTTTATACTGCTTTCCACAGTAAGCCTGATTTTAAGAACTGGAAATACTATCAGTGGTGGCCAGGTGTAGAAGCCTTGCTCACTGTGTCTCACAGTGTTCTGTTTGCCATGCATCTGCCGTTATCATCTTCACAAAAACCTCGGAAGGGAGGCAGGGATCCCATTTTAAGATGAATAAATTGAGGCAATAATTAACTCTCCTAGGATGCATCACTGTCAAGAGGCAGAGGCAGGACTGCAGAGGTAGGTGCTCTCCGTCCGCCACACACTTCAGGCTGCAGGTGTCAGAGTCTGGTCCTGTGTCGCTGGTGTGCCTGCTGAGTGTGGGAGCACAGGGAGCGGCGTGCGGGAGCACGTTTATAACCACAGGAACAGATGAGTGCATGTGGATGTCCGCTCACATTTTAAATGACTAAAACCTGTTTTTCTTTTTAACTCAGATGAAGTGGCTTTGAAATTTGAAAATGGCAAAGCCAGAGCTAAGAATATATTTTATGAAACGTTACCCGTGGCCATTAATGGGAATGGACCCACCAAGGTGAGTCACAGCGATGTTCCTCTGTTTCCTTCGATGTGGAGCTGGACGGTGGGGGTGGGGGTGGGGGGTCCTCCCCCGGTGCTGTTTCAGGTGAGTGTGCCCCGCGTCCAGCTGAGACTTCTTCCTTTTCCCTTCACACACGTTCTGGGGTAATGTGCTTCACCCCACGCCAGCCGCCCTCTCTCCGGGCCGATGATGTCCAGACCCCGACACTGACTCCCGTTCTCTCTCCTGGACGCCGGGTCCGCATCCCCAGCTGGTAGATGGGTTGTAGGTCTCACAAGACCTGGAGCTCAGGACCTTCAGCTCTGCCTCCTCTTCCTCCCCCCGTTGACGGAACCTGGTTTTACTTTGGCCGGCGTGGCTTCGCCCCCAGTCCCGGCGCTGGGCTTTAGCTGTGCGTGGTGGTTGATCTAGCGTCCTCAGTGCAGGCCACCCTCAGCCCCACCACCACCCTCCAGGGAGCTGGAGCCAGAGTCTGTGCTGAAGCAGAGGCCCCGTCGAGTCACTCACCTGCGAGTGCCCTCCGCGGGCGCCCTCCGCGGGCGTAGGTGTGACGTTCCAAACTCAGCGTGTCTCACAAGGCGCTTTATTTATTTATTTATATATTTATTTATTTAATCCTCACCCGGGGACATTTTTCCTTTTTTTTTTTTTTGTTCAGATTGAGTGGGAGGGGGAGAGGGAGAGAAACATCGACGTGAAAGGGACACATTGAGTGTCTGCCACCCGCACAATCAACCAGGGCCGGGGACAAACTGCAACCGAGATACATGCCCTTAGCGGCTAAGGGCACCGAACCCGGGTCTCTCGGGACCACAGGCCGACGCTCCAACCGCTGAGCCAAACCGGCCAGGGCTCACAAGGCCCTTTAAAATTTTGCTCTGTTTAGTGATCACCCTTCCACCATCTCATGCCCAACTCCTGACACAACAGATGTGCACGCACCTCGTCCAGGTAATCATTCTCTCTCGGCTCCTGCCCTCCTGAAGGACTGTGACCTTCACAAAGCCTTCGCGTTTCCACGTCTGCAAGTCTTTCGTTTGCGCACCTCACTCTCTGGAGCCCTCTGCTGCCAGCGCCCGCTCCTTGCCCACCTACTGAGCCTCTCGGCTGTTAGGTGTCGGCTCTGTCCTGCTCCTGTGTGCGCTTTACAGTATCTGAAACTTTGTCCTTCACGTACATACCTCACACGGGGCAGTGGCAGGATTCACCTGTTTGTTTTTTTCTTTATTGATTTGAGAGAGAGAGAGAGAAATATCGATGAGAGAGAACATCGACTGGCCGCCTCCTGCACGCCCCCCATTGGGGATTGGGTCCACAACCTGGGCATGCGCCCTGACCGGGAATCAAACCGGTGACCTCTTGGTGCATGGGTCGCTCCACCACTGAGCCACACCAGCCCGGCAAATTTCACTGTTTTTAATCTCTCTTACTTACAGGGCCTTTAGCCTAAGAATTGTAGAACTTATTTCTACCCCATTCACTTTTCCCCTCTGGTTCAGCACATGCGCAGCTTATATTAGCCATACAATAAATGGAATCTGGATGTCTGAGTCTAAACAATGTAAGGATCTAGCATTATTTTGGGGAGTTTTTTTATATTTCTAGTTGGACAAAATACTCATAAAATTGCTGTGGGTCATCATAACTGTCTTTAGGCAAATTTGACAAATGGACTGATTTTGTCTAGAAAAACCACTTACGGTATCTGTGTGTGTGTGTTGTGTATGCATGTGTTAATTTGTGTGTGTGTGCAGTTTCTCTGTTAACCCTCTGATACCTTGGTGCCTGTTAGCAAGGGTCTGTACAAGCAAACATCTACAACCAAAGTGTATTGTTCCTTTTGGGCAACGTACTATTTTAATCAAATTTAAAAGTCTTAAAAGAGGGAGCATGGTTTTGAGAATTTAGCTATTGTGGTTCAGTGACTTCAGTGTGATCACCAATTTCTTACAAATTCCCAGGATCATCTCTTTGGCATGTTAACAAAGTGACTAAAAGATTTCTCACAAGAAAAAGGTCACTAATCCTTAATCATTTAGAAAGGCATACTAAGAAATTTTAAGTCTTCTGGGAAACACATTCTGGGCTCTCACTGTTTCTGGTATTTTAAGCAGTATGATGATTCTATTATATTTTCTCTGACGTGATCCTTGCTAGTCTATCTTCCTGTGATTTTATTTGGCAACAAAAAATGTAGTTTTGAAAATTATTTGGTATAATATAAAAAATTGAGAAAAGGTTTTATAAAAAGTATTCAATTAGTGCTAATACTTTATTTAATAATATTATGTTAAAGTTAAATAGACAAAGTACTCATCAGTAGATGAGTGGATAAAAAAGCTGTGGTACATGTACACAGTGGAATACTATGAAGCTATCAAAAAGAAAGGTCTCTTACTCTTTGAGACAACATCGAGGGACCTGCAGAGTATTATGCTAAGCGAAGTAAGTTACTCAGAGAAAGACAAGCACCACATGATCTCACTTGTTTGTGGAATATAATGAACAAAAGAAGCTGACAAACAAAATAGAGCCAGTGACATGGAAGTAGGGGACAGACTGACAAACCTCAGAGGGAAGGAGGGGGTGGGAAGAGACAGACCAAAGAACTTATATGCATGTATGCATAACCCATGGACACAGACATTAGTGGGTAAAGGCCTTGTGGGGAGGGGTTGGGAGTGGGGTGCAGGGGGTCAGTGTGGGGAAAGAGGGGTGGATATATGTAATACTTTCAACAGTAAAGGTAACATTTTTTTTTTTTTTGGTGTAAACAACAGACATTTATTTTGTCACGGTCCTGGAGGCCGGATATTCCGCACGGTTAGTTTCCCGGAGGCCTCGTTGCTGGGGCTGCAGGTGGCTGCCTCCTCCCTGTGCCCTCTCATGGCCTTCACTCCGTGCTCCTCTTTGGCTTCTCTTCTTGTCAGGGCACCAGTACTGTGAGAGCAGGTCTTCACTCTTATGACCCCACTAACCTTCGTACCTCCTTAAAGACCCTGTCTCCAAATACAGTCCCATTGTGGCTTAAAGCTTCAACGTACGAACTTTGGGGTTGCCCATTTTAGTCCGTAGTGCCTAGGTCGAGTGTGGGCTGGAGATGAGTGAAGCTCTTCGGAAGCGAGGCAACGAACAAGTACTGCTCGCACTATGATGCACCCGCGTTTCGGGATTGAATTCATTTTGAAAGTGGAGCTAAAGCATTTATTATAGGTGAACTCTTTCTTTCTCTAATCTTTAGTGTTGAAAGTATTACAGATATCCCCCCTTTTTCCCCCATTGATCCTCTCCTCCCCGCTCCCACCCCCCTCCTGCCTTCCCCAAACTGTTGTCTGTGTCCATTGGTTGTGCATAAATGCATATAAGTTCTTTGGTTTATCTCTTCCCATCCCCACCCCCTCTTTCCCTCTGAGGTTTGTCAGTCTGTCCCCTACTTCTATGTCTCTGCATCTGTTTTGTTTGACAGCTTATTTTGTTCATGATGTTCCATAAGTAAGTGAGATCCTGTGGTGCTTGTCTTTCTCAGACTGGCTTGTTTAGTTTAGATAACACTCTGCCGGTCCCTCCACAGTGAGTGAAGGCCCGTAGGGAGGGGTGGAGTGGAGTGGAGGGGAGGTCAGTGGGGGAAGAAGACGGGAGAGATGTAATACTTTGAACCATAAAGGCTAATTTTTAAAAAATTAAAAACAAACTAGCCAGAAAGTATGAAATAAAAAATGTTATAAAACAAACAAACAAACAAAAATAATATTAACTAGAGGTACATGAGTATATCCCACTTTTCCCTGTGTACAGGCAACAGGGAAAGAAAGCAGATTACTATATATATATATATATATATATATATATATATATATATATATATTCCTTACCTGAGGATACTTTTCTATTTATCATCAGACAGAGTGGGAGGGAAGGGGAGAGAGAGACAGAGAGAAACATTGATGTCATAGAGCCACATCAACTAATCGACCGACCAGCTGCCTCCCGCAGGACCCAACAGGGCCGGGGACAGAACCGCAACCAAGGTATATGCCCTGGACTGGAATCGAACCTGCGACTCATTGGTCCACGGGCCAACACTCTCACCACTGAGCCAAACCAGCCAGGGCAGATATAAACTTTTAAAAACAATCATGAAAAGCTGAAAGGATTTTTTATATGAATTTTATAAGTTAACTTTACTTATTATTTGATTTAGTGAGGGTTGAGTATAAAAATACAGTCCCCCCTCCCCCCATTTGCTGGGGATATGTTCCAAGACCCTCGGTGGATGCTGAAACAGCAGATAGTACCGAACCTTACATATGCTATGTTTTTTCTGCACACACACATTCTTTCACTTGAAGAAGCACTTACAGCTTCTCTTTGTCACATACAAATGACCAGTATCGCCCCTCTTGCACTTTGGGGCCATTACTAAGTGAAATAAGGGTGACTTGAGCACAATCTCCGTGATACCCCAGCAGTCGGTCCTGTAACTGAGAGGGCTACTAAATGCCTAACTACTAAGGGACCAAACAGGTGTGGCGCGCACACAGATTTGGTACCTGGACAAAGGGGCGGTGCACATCCTGGGCAGGAGTCAGCCGAGAGACCTAAGGTTTCATCGGGCTGCTCAGATCAAGGTGCAATCTAAAACTTAGGGAATTTTCCTTTTACTATTTCAGACCGAGTGAGGTTGAGCGGGGTAACTGAAAACCTAGAAAGTGAAACTGTGGGTAAGGGGAACTACTCTGTATTTATAATCCATAAAGGATACGTTAATTGTAGTGTGTTTATAGACCAAAGTATATAAAAATGAGTTTATTTCTTAATTAGTTCCTTTCTCTAAATCTCATGTAATTCTTAGGAAGGACAATTTGAAAATAACTTTAAAAATCGCGAATAATCTCCCATATTGTTTTCATTCATAACTGCTTTCAGTTGATGTCCTCTAGCATACATCTGTGAGCATTCGTATTTTCCATAATGATTTATCAATAATTTTGTTCTTTTTGAAAAACTTTATTTTTATTGCTGACACTATTACATAAGCCCCCATTTTCTGGCCCTTTGGCACCTCCACCAGCCCCCCCCCCCCCCCCCAGCCATCTCCACACTATTCTCTGGGACTATGAGTTATGCGTATATCTTCTTTGGCTAATCCCTTCACTGTCTTTCATCCATTTTATGTCTTTTAAATTAGCATTTCATTTGAAATATGTTTCTGTATTCTATGTAATTTTCATACTTGTCTAGAGAAAATCAAATATAGATCAGTTTTTAGATAGAAACTATGAATTTTGGTGTAAAGGTTTACTTTTTATTTTTGAAGCTCATTTATCGTTAGTAACACATCATAAGAGGCTCTTTTTTTAAAAAAAAAAAAAAGCAAAATATGTTTTATTTTTGATTGAGGCTATTTCAGCCTGATTTTCAATTTTTTTAACATGCTTTTTTGGGACAACTTTTATAAGAGTTTATGAGTCATACTGATGACATGGGCCAAGGAGCAGAACTCCTTGTTCCTGAACATATGTTCCTGAGACCTTTATTTTAATACAGATGGGAGAAGAGATTTGCAAACAACAGCTCCAACAAGGGGTTAATATCCAAAATATATAAAGAACTCACACAACTCAACACCAAACAAACAACCCAATTAACGAATGTGCAGAGGACACTTCTCTCGAAAAGACATACAAATGGCCAGCCGATATATGCAAAGGTGATGCTCAACTTCATTCACTAGCTGTTAGGGAAATGCAAATCAAAACTACAGTGAGATACCACCTCACACCTGTTAGAATGGCTGTTTTCAACACGACAAGTAAGAACAAGTGTTGGAGATGTTGTGGAGAAAAAGGAACCCCCATTCACTGCTGGAGGAATGTAAACTGACACAGCCACCATGCAAAACAGTATGGAGGTCCCTCAAAAAATTAAGAATAGAGTTACCGTGTGATCAGCAATCCCTCTTCTGGGTATCTACCCAAAAAACTGGGTATTCACAAAGATATGTGCACTCATATATTCATTGCAACATCATTCACGGTGGCAACAACCGAAGTGTCCTTTGACAGAGGATGGGATAAAGATGTGGTCCTTATAGACAATGGAATACTAAGCCATAAGAAAAGCTGAAATGCCCACCTTTTCTTTTAAATGTCAGATACTATACATCTTAAAGGAATCATGATGAAAGTGGTGGCCTTTTTATACAATCAGAAGTTTAACAGAACAAGACCGTATTCCCCAATTTGTACACGAAAAAGTCATTCCTGAAACTGATTTGCAATAAAACTTTAATTTTCTTGTATAAAAACCACCATGCCTGGGTGATTGTGTATGACCTTGAATAATTGAATGATTTAAAACGAGAAAGGATGTGGTTGGAAAAGTTTTTTGCCAGCGGAATGACATGATGCTTGGACACGACTTGGGATTGTGAAATAGGGCCAGGAGAGGGCTGCCACCTAGTAGCTGGAGGCTGCCCAGAACAGCCAAACACATAAACAGTTTCCTGCACTTTCCGAAGCTGCCAGCATCAATGTCTGCAGTTCTTAATGAAGAAAACAGATACAGATGGGAGGCTGGGTGGTGTGTGAGCTCGGCCTTTGTGGTGAGAATCCAAGAGGGGAGATCTCCAGTCCGAAGCCATGATTTCAAAGATATGTCCGCTCTCTATGAAAATGAATTGAGGTAGACAGTAGGATGGTCATGAAATAAAGTCTTAATTTTGAGAACTAAAAGGCATGGCTTTTATGCGCAGACCTTTTAAAAAATACCGGTCACTTGTATATTCACATTGAGATTCTAATAGACTGATCAGTAATTCATGAAATGTATATTTGATTTTTAAATGATATTTCTGAGGTGCGGGGAGGATGAGGCTATATATATAAATGGGAATTTTAGATATGGCCTACTATATGAGGGATTGTTTTTTCTTTTATGTATGTATATTTTAAATAGTTCTTGATTTGGGAGAGAGAGAGAGAGAGAAACATTGATGAGAAGGAACATCGATTGGCTGCCTCCTGCATGCCCCCCACTGGGGATTTGGCCCACAACCTGGGCATGTGCCCTGACCAGGAATCAAACTGATGACCTCTCAGTGCATGGTGCACTGAGCCACACCGGCCACGTGGGATTTTTTTCTTTCTTTAAAAAATATTCTTTCTCAGGATGTTTTAAACAAAACTGTATTTCCCACTAGCCTTAAAACAAAAACAACTCTTTTGCAAACATGCTAAGTAAAGTGATGTATTTTCAAATAAATCACTTTATTGTTTTCCCTCAAGGCCATGATTTTGTATAGAACATGAAGGATTAATGTTTGCATCTGCGATTTGACAACGGCAATTTTGTTGTTGTTGTTTTAGAGACACATTAGCGTGACCATGTTGGCTCTTGAAAGGTCAGGAACAAATGTCACAGCTACACATTTCCTGCCTTGTAATTTGTTTCCTGAATTGTCATGTAGCTTATGAGGAACGTGACTGAGTTGGTTGCTGTTCATGTCCTCTGTGTGCTGTCCAGATTGAAGGTAGCTCGGTCTGCGGTATCTGACACAGATTTTCCCACTGTGATGGATACTGTACTTGTTTTAACAGTATTTTCAGTTTCAGCACAATAGGAATAGAAATGGATCTCAGATAATTTGGAGGATTTTTGTAGAATGGTACTGGATGATCATCTTGGTTGCGCTATACATTAAGATTTTTTTTTTTTTTTTTGGTCTTAGGAAGCTAGAAAAATTCACTGTACGTTTTGACCATCATATTTAATGGACAAACATGTTTTTATTTTGAGCCCACCTCACCTTTCCAGTGAAGAGTCACCGATACATGCATAATGAGGATTTTAGTTGCTTCCTCTTAAAAGTCATAAAGTCACAGCCAAAGCTAGTTGCTGCAGCTTCAGTGTCTTGAAGTGAAATAATTAGCTTGTGAGAAGGAATAATAAAATGTAAAAGTCTGCAGACATTCATACCACCACAGATATTAATATTGCAGTAGAAAGGGTAGTGATTTTTTAAAAAGTAAATCGGCAGACTGTTTCCTATGATGTTTCCATCTAGGGATATTGAAGATTTGTTTGAGGTCTGAGAACATGTCTGAGAGTGTTTATCTCTTTTTCTCCATCCATCTGCTCTCGCTCACTCCCTCAACCAGAGCACACACAAGGACAGAGATTTTACAGAAAAGAAGGAATGCCAGTCGGGTCTTAAGGGGAGGAGATGAGCCTCAAAGGAGGATAGATCTGAACTGGGTGGGCGGGAAGCCGTGTTACGTTAGTTTCTTGTCGATAGGATTTTTGGGGTGGCTGTAACGAGGAGCTTGTTCTGCATCTGTGTTCATCTGCAAGCTTTCCTTTCCTGAAGCCAGTGCCTCGGAAGCTAGATCACAGCGGGCAGCATCGTTCCGTGCCTTTGGGTACTCAGGTGTATACGGTACTGGTTTGAGTGGTAATGGTTCGTAAGAGGTCCTGCCCCTCCCATTGACTGTAGCGGATCCTTTAAACATTTATCTGATGACTCATTTATTCTTTACATGACTGCTTTTATTCATGGTGGTGTTTTTCTAATAAGTCTCGTTAGCCCAATTAAAACCGTATGTTTCATTGTTGGACCTATTTCTTCAATTGTGTCTCTACTGGTATCATTCCTTATATAATGAAATTGAATGACCTATATGGTTTATGATGCATTTTTTGGCATTCTTAGCAAAGTTTGACCTGCTTTATGATTCATTGTCTGGAAATAATGTTGTTCAGTGTGTAACTCTAAGTGATAAATATCAGTAGAATTATTAATGAAATGTGCCTAGTTACACAGACCAGTTACATCGAAGGAAAGTACCTTGAGAGGCTTGAGAGGAAGGGATTACTTTTGTTAATACAGTTCTCCTTCATTTACTAGATTCTCCTGAATTATTTTGGAAACTATGTACCTAATGGATGGACACAGGATAGTGGCTGCACTCTTTGTGAATTGGATACAATTGACTTGTCCTCAGTAAATGTGAGTGGAATTAACTGTGTGTGAAATATAGTAATAAAAAAGATATTGTCATGAAATACAGTGATTTGTAAAAAAAAAGGGGGGGCACATTATTATATAGTTTTGATAAATAGATAATGGAGTTATAAAGCTAAAACATGATGATTCAGAAAATTGTTAGATTTGTATATATCTGAACTATTTTTTAAAGCAAAACTAGCTAATGGTTGACCCCAATAAAAGGGGCTTGGTTATTAACATTGAATAGCTTACCATGATTAGGTGTTCTTGTTTTATTTAGTTTGTTAACCTGTTAAAAGCATTGAGGAAAAAATGGTTACAGTGCTTCAGCATTTTTATTGACTAATTTTATCTGTGCTTAATTTTAAATGTGATCTAAAAGTAATAATATATGATTATGTAACTAAGGACTATTTTAAGTATTTTACATATAGTAATTCATTTAAACTTCATAAAATGTTTCAGTAGATAGCATTATTGACTGAGTTTTACGATGAGAAAACTGAGGTATGTACAGATTAAGAAACTTGCTTAAGGGTATATAATTTCTTTGCGTTGGAGGTGGGATTTGAATTGTAGCAATCTGGCTTCAGATCCTATATTCTTTTTTGTTGTTGTTTATCCTCACCCAAGGATATTTTTCCATTGATTTGTAGAGAGTGGGAGGAACCGGGTAGGGGGCTAGAGAGAGAGAGAGAGAGAGAGAGAGAGAGACATCTGTTGGCTGCCTCCTGCACGCCCCCTACTGGAGATCGAGCCTGCAGCCCGGGCGTGTGCCCTGACCAGGAATTGAGCCAGGACCTGTCAGGCCATGGCACAATGCTCAATCCACTGAGCCACACAGGCAGGCTAGGAGCTTTTTAAAAGATTTTTTTCCCTTGAGTCACTTTCTTTTTTTAAATTAAATTTATTGAGGTGACATTGATTAATAAAATTGTATAGCTCTAAAGTGTACAGTTCTATGATACATCACTTGTATAATTCACTGTGTGCCCACCACCCAAACTCAGGTCTTCTTCTAGCATCATATATTTGACCCCCTGTACCCTTCACCACCCCAACACCTGCCTTCCCTCCGGTAACCACCGTGCTGTTGTCTGTTTTCATTTGTTTTTCCTGTTTGTTCTTTTGTTGCTTTCAGTTTTTTTTTTTTTTTTATATTTTGTTGTTTTTTTTGAGAGAGAGGAAGGGAGAGAGAGATAGAAACATCAATGTGAGAGAGAAACATCAATTGGCTGTCTCTTGCAAACTCCCTCTGGGGATCAAATCTGCAACCCGGGCATTGAATCAGGACCTCTTAGTCCACGGGACGATGCTCAATCCACTGAGCCACACCTGCGGGGCTACTGCCTTCAGTTTTATGCCCACATGTGAGTGGAATCATGTGGTTCTGGACTTTTTTTGGTCTGATTTATTTCACTTAGCATGATATTCTCAAGATCTATCCGTGTTGTCACAAATGGCAGTATTTCGTCCCTTCCTATGTCTGAGCAGTGTGCCATTGTCCCTCCACCTGATTCTGAGATTAGTCGCAGTGTGTGCCTATCACTCGGGGAAAAATTGTTCTGGTCCCATTTCAGAGGTTTGCAGATAATGTGCCCTGCAACTCGACACTCCTCGAGAAACTTTTTAAATAGAGCCCTCTTTTCTTGAAAATAAGAGTTTTTAGCCGTCTCTCAGATAACAAACTGAATGTTTCCTTTCTGGAAAGAATGCCAGACTGTGTCTGAGGGAAGCTGCCTCATGCCGATGTTTAAAAATATATCCTGACTTTTTTTTGCAGCAAATAGTTCTGTACCCTGGAGGGAGAGTTAATACTTTTTATCTGTTTGGTTTCATGTATATAAACTTTCTGGTGCAAAGTTAGAAAAATATTTATATTAAAAATTTTTAAATCTTTTGTATATAGGAATAAATTTCTTGATTCTTGGGCTATTTTGTCTTACAGCCTATTAAAAAATACTAGATCCCAGCTGGTGTGGCTCAGTGGACTGAGCATCATCCCATGGACTGAGAGACTTGATTTCTGGCCAGGGCACATGCCCAGGTTGTGGGCTCGATCCCCAGTACGGGGTATGCAGGAGGCAGTCGATCAATGTATCTCTCTCACATCTGTTTCTCTCTCTTTCCCTCTTCTCTCTCTAAAAATTCAATTAAAAAATATATATATATATTAGAAGGGAAAACCACTCTATTATACAAAATAAATTTTTATATGTTTTATATATATAGTAATTATGCAATAGTTTTAAAAATTAAAATTATATGGGTAGTTAAGATCTCAGTCCTACCATATTCTTAAATTGGGCCACAGGCAAGCTTCTTTATATGTAAAAATAAGAATGGCTATCTCAGAAGGTTGGTAGGAGGGTAATATGGAATTTTATATATACATATATACATGTATATATGTGTGTGAGTATAAATTATATTTTATGTGTATAAATTTTATACATATGTGAATTTCTAAGCCTTCCCTAATGTTAACTCTTGTTGTGGTTATCATTAGACTGATAATGGAGATGTAGCATATTGAAGCCTAGCTCTTTAGCTACTAGTTTATGTGTCTCGGTTGCTTAACTTTTCTAAATTCTATTTTTCTCACATGTAAATTTTGTATAGGTAACTTTAAGGTTATGAAATTTAAACAAAATCTGTTTCATTTGTTAAGGGAGAGTTTTCTTCACTATGTACTTATTCTTTTATTATGACGAGCTAAAGGATAGCTATTTTGTCTTTAGTTGTTTGTGCTTGTTTATTCACTTGATACTAAATATTTGGGTGTTTGAGTGAATTGATTAAAAAATTTCGTAGTGTTCAAGGTGTAGGAGGTACCATGTGGAAAAGAGAGAGGTACCCATTTAACATCTGGGTTTTAACAAATATTTAATACTTAGATTCAGTCTTCAAAAGATGGTTTTATTCTTATTTATTTAAAAAAAATGAATTGATTTTAGAGAAAGGGAGAGAGAGAGAAATATCGATGTGAGAGAAAAACATTAATCGGTTACCTCCCGTGCACTCCCTGACCTGGGATCAAACCTACCACCTTGTGGTGTGTGGGACGACCCTCCAGCCAGCTGAGCCACACTGACCAGGGCTCAAATACAGTTTTAAGATGACATTATAAAGAAGTCTTTCATATAGTTCTGGTAATAACAGCATTACATGGTTGTTAGGTTTCTGATTTCCCCAACCATCTGTAAGTTTTCAAGTCGGAATTTTCATTTCTTTTTCTAAATGTTGCTTGTCACAAGGACTGAGAAATATAATGGATATTTAAAAAGTTGGTATGCAATGAATGAAGATAAATTGTCCTCTAAAACATACTCAGAGCACTTAAGAAAATATATAAAATAGATGCAAGATAAAAAGTATTAGTGAAAGGAAATCACTTTCCTATATATAATAATGAAGCAGAATAGTACTTCATTTTCTATATGGGTAATGTATACATATGAAAATTAGATTCTATGTAATAAAATTACATTAAAGGAGTTTTTCAAGGGTAGAAATAAAGGTTCAAGACCTTCATAATTGCTTTAGTTGAGCTACAGACTAACCTCTGAACTTGAAAGAAGAAGCAAAATTAGCATTTTGGTTTCTTAGATGAAGCTGTAATAACATGCAGATCTGAAAGAAGTTTCTTTATGGACCATCATAAAGGAAGCGTTGAATCGTAGAGTAAGCAATTAATTACATCAGTGTAATAAATGTGACAGAGAATTTCCTCTTCCAACGTAATTCCTAATGCCAAGCTATGGGTAAGATCAATCACTTTGATGGGGTCTACACAAATGTATTTTGAGTGTTAGAGAATTACCATGGGACCATTCAAATTTAGCCCATTGCGTTGAATTAGTATTCTAGTAAATGTGATGTTCTGAGTAAGACCTGAATAGAATTTAAAGAAAAATCACACTAATGATAATGTTTTCTTATGTTTGCTATGAAATAAAGGTCTATCCAAATGTAACAATAGGAGTTTTTATTGAGCAACCAACCCCTTTCCTACCTCGATTTCTGGACATATTGATGACACTGGATTACCCCAAAGAAGCACTTAAAGTCTTTATTCATAACAAAGTAAGTATTTGAAAGGTGAATATTTTATGTAACAAGTATTTATTTTATTTGGAACTATTTGTTGTTATCTATTTGTGTCTGAGAAAATCCACTGGGCTAAATTAAGTAAGGGATTTGGGGAGTAATTACTGCCCTGGCTTTTTAAGACCTAAGGATAAGAATCTAGAAACTAGTATCATAATATTGGGATAAACTTCATGAAAGCAACATATTTTGTAGATCAAAAATGGTTGAATATTAGCCATTTCCTGTGACTCAACTTAGTCTATAATGAAGAGATGTCCAAGGGCCTTCTATTCCTTTGCCTTTGGGTTAGTTCTGACACATTTATAGAACCTGTCATTCAGTTGTTACCATAGCAGTAAAACTTGAAGCATCTTGCAAGTAGAGAATTGTTTTGATTCGTCACACAATGGCACATGGTTCCCCAGAGGACTGAATAGAATCAATTCCTTCAGAAATATTTAGCGCCTCCCAAACAATTCCCACATAGAATCCAAACTTAATAACATTTTTTTCTCAATACTTTTCCATACTAGCCTCTTTCCTGATTTAACACGTGGCATGTAACATCATCTAGAAAAACCCGGGAGCTGTGAAGTAGGCTCTGTTCTCTCTTCTGTTCCAGTAAACTTTTGTTTACCGCAGTCGGTTCTGACTCATGTGCATGCCGGCTAATCATCGGCGTTTTTCTGAGAGTATTTTAAATTTACAGAAAAAGCAGCTAAAATAAGTTTAAAAGGGTGAATCATTGAGTATTTGCTTTGTAAAATGTTCTGTGCATATATTTACATCAAGGCGTTTTCCTTTTCCATACAGGGTTTTACCGTTGTGACTATTTTGTGTTATTACTTATTTATTATTGTATTATTTTGAACAAATGTAAGCCTACTTTTGCCCCACCCTGCATTGTCTTTTATTTATACTTTCTTTTCTTTCATAGGACCTAAAACTCCTTGTTGGCAGAAGCTTTTCTCTTCTTTTATTTAAAATTAAGTCTATGTAGCTTTTATGTGGTAAGGAGTTTTAATAGGCTATAAAAAGCTTTTAAAACTACTGGATGAGATTTGATACATAAAAAGCTCTGAAATGCTCTAATGAGGGGGAAATAATCTTATCGAAGTTTTAGCACAGTTCAAAGTTTAATAAAACTATTCTGATGCCTTGGAAACACTGGTTTTGTATAACCACAGTTTTATATGTGACCATTATTTTTTCTCTCTGGCTTCACAGAATATTGAAATATTTATTTCATAAAATTTCTGTTTATAACTTACATTAATCATTGAACATGAACTATTGCTCATATTAGGTTTAACATAAATTTTTAAATGGATATTCACACGTCTAACCTTCTCAGGCCATAAGGCATTTCCACACCATTCCCCCATCTCAGCCAGAAACAGTTGATAACACCCGGGAATGAAATATTTATGTGAGCACTTGTCTAGGAGTAAATGTTAAAATAATATTGAGATATCTTCTCTTTAAAAAAATATAATATGTATCTATTTTAGCTTCTATAGATGACATTTAGGTGATATTTAAATAAAACATTTAATTTGGTAATTGAGTGACTGTTGAATAGTAGAATTTACCACTTTGAATGTGAACCCATCCCTGCATATGAATACTACAGTCGTCTTAATTGTCTTACCTTCTTATTCATTTTCTTTTTTTAAATATGTTACAGGAAGTTTATCATGAAAAGGACATCAAGGTATTTTTTGATAAAGCAAAACATGAAATCAGTACTATAAAAATAGTAGGACCAGAAGAAAATCTAAGTCAAGCCGAAGCCAGAAACATGGGAATGTATGTTTTAATAAATTAAATTAAACAATTTGTACTAAAGAAACTTTTAAAAAAATGGCACCCTAATCTTGGATTATAGGTGTGTGTGAGGGTGTGTGAGTGAGTGTGTGTGTGTGAGTGTGTGAGTGTGGTGAGTGTGTGAGTGTGGTGAGTGTGTGAATGAGTGTGGTGTGAGCGTGTGTGGTGTGAGTGTGTGTGTGGTGAGTGTGTGAATGAGTGTGGTGTGTGTGTGTGGTGAGTGTGTGAGTGAGTGTGGTGTGAGTGTGTGGTGAGTGTGTGAGTGAGTGTGGTGAGTGTGTGAGTGTGGTGAGTGTGTGAATGTGGTGAGTGTGTGAGTGAGTGTGTGAGTGTGTGTGGTGAGTGTGTGAGTGAGTGTGGTGTGAGTGTGTGTGGTGAGTGTGTGAGTGAGTGTGGTGTGAGTGTGTGTGTGTGGTGAGTGCGTGAGTGTGGTGAGTGTGTGAGTGTGTGAGTGTGTGGTGAGTGTGTGAGTGTGGTGTGTATGGTGTGTGAGTGTGGTGTGTGTATGAGTGTGTGTGTGAGTGTGTGTGTGTGAGGGTGCGTGAGTATGTTTGTGTGAGTGTGTGTGTGAGTGTGGTGTGTGTGAGTGAGGGTGCTTGAGTATGTGAGTGTATGTGTGAGTGTGGTGAGTATGTGAGTGAGTGAGTGTGGTGTGTGTGAGTGTGGTGTGTGTGAGTGTGTGTGTGAGTGTGTGTGTGCTCATGGACTCTCCACTGTTAGACTCCCTCTGTGCTGCTCTAATGGTCCAGGGGAGTTGTTTACATTTTTATTTTAATGGCTAAGGGACCACATATTTTATCAAACTCTGAACTGAACTACAGAGTTTAAAAAATGGACAAGTGTATAGTATGGCTTACATAAGCAGTGATTTTAAATGTGACTCTCTGGGGGTTGTGTGCGGTAGAGATGAATGTTTTAGACTAAGGGCAAGGAGCTCCTACGTTCTAGTTTCCTGCTGCTCTAGAAAATACTGTAACAGGAACTATTTCAGGTCCTCTGTTCAGCCCTTTTAATACTTCAGCCAGATTACTCATTCACTTCTGTCAACAGTAAAAACAGCCTTTTACTCAGGAAATGTTAATTGACTAGTCCAGGCGGTGGGCTTCAGCTGCTGCTGAACAGGCGCATCAGTCACGGTGACGTCTCATTCTGTGCTGTCAAAGTGGGGGATCCAGCATGGTGACTGGGGTGGGGGGCATGGGGTGTGTGGGGAAACAGGCCTCAGAAAGACCAGACCGTTTTTACTAACGGTTCCAGAACTTGCTTGGTGGAGAATCCTTGGGTCCACATTCAAATGTTTTTTTGAAATTATTTGTACGATTTCAACTACTTACTGCCTGGGGCAGTGGTTTGGTCGCTGCTTAGAAACAAGCGTGGTGTGGAGATACACGCGGACAATAGCTGACAGTGGTAACCGGGAGCCCAGAGAGAGAAGACCCCGAATGCAGAAGCCGTAATACGGGGAAGAACTTCGTGCATCACAACTGGTTCTTTCCTTGGTGTCCTGATAGGACACTGCAGACTGTACCAAGAACAGTCAGTGCCCCTGGTGAGAAACAGGGCGGTAACAGTCTTAGAAGGAATCCAGTGCAAATCAATTTTAAAAGTACGAATCCCTAAAGTCATTGACTTGTATCTCCAAGAGTCACTAAAAACCGAGTTGATGGATATACAGTATTTTGCAATGTGTGCATGTGTGTGCACGTGTGTGTGCAGGTGCAACATTTTGATTTTTTGAAAAAAAACATGTTGCTGATAAATACATTGGGGTAAATTGCTTTTCTCTTTTAGAGAGGATTTAATTCTAAATTACAAATTGCCATTCTGACTGGTTGTTTTATACCCTAAAATATTTACTGGCTGAAAACATATTTCACCTGGCCTAAACTTTTTAGTGTTGCCTACCTGTGAACATCTTGATAAACTGACTGTTTTGAAATTCAAAGCAGTATATTTCCTTTTGGATGTTGTCTGACTACTTTGATTAGAAAACTATGTTAGAGAAAATTTATTTTATCTATAAGCTTTATATTATCATTTTCCAACAGCAAATGTACTTTTTTAAAAATAATTCTTATTTCATTTCTTTTCCAATGTCAGGGATTTTTGCCGTCAGGATAACAGCTGTGAATATTACTTTAGTGTGGACGCAGATGTTGTTTTGACGAATCCAAGGACCTTAAAAATTTTGATTGAACAAAACAGGTACTATATAAAATTCAAGGTCAATTTATTTTTAAAATGATGATCATTTTCTTAATCGGGGGACACACTGAGGGCATTTGTGGAAGGAACAAATGGGAAGGAGCAACTTGAGGGAACTCACACTAAGTCATTTTCTACACCATATAAACTTTCAACTCTAATTAGTCTTGTTTGAAAGGAGTCAAATAGAAAATAACCTGATAAAAATTGGAAGTTTTTTAAATTCTCACCCGAGGATATTTTTCCATTGATTTTCTGATAGAGTGGAAAGGGGGAGGGAGAGAGACACACATACATTGATTGGTTGCCTCCTGCAGAACCCCACCCAGGGCCCGAGGACCGAACAGCAACCCAGGTACATGCCCTTGATTGGACTTGAACCAGCGATTCTTTGGTCCTTGGTCTGATGCTATAACCACTTAGCCAAACCAGCCAGGGCTCATTTATTTTTTTATTCACCAGATATTTATTGGGCACTTTTACTGCACTAGGGACTATTGGGTCTCTAACAACAATGAAAATATTTGATCTTATATAGCTTAATTTCTGAAATACTTAAACAATCAAGGTAGTTTCACTTTTTTGGACATATGTAAGGGACTTTTAAGAGTCATTTTTATACTTTCATTCACATTTTGAGTTGCTTTTATTACTCTTTTTAAGAAATATTATTGAAAATCAGCAATGTACTTATTCAAGAAAAAGTGTGGGGAAGAAATCTCTCTCTGTTACTTTAAGTATTTTGGACTAACTACATGAATGTTAAGTGAACTTTATTGTTCTATTTGTCATGCTAAATCCAAAACACATAGTACTGTAGTCATAGATAAAAAAGTTACATGGCTTTTTTTTCTTTCTCTTTAGAAAGATCATCGCTCCTCTTGTAACTCGCCATGGAAAGCTGTGGTCCAACTTCTGGGGAGCCCTGAGCCCCGATGGGTACTACGCGCGATCTGAAGATTATGTGGACATTGTTCAGGGGAACAGAGTGTGCGTTACTCAGTTTAATCTTTAATGTAAAACACCGTGAGTTAGAGATGGGGACTTGTTCATATTGCTTGAAAATGTTTCCTATTTATCCTTTTTCTTTATGTTTAATGGAAATGTGAAAACCTGGGATCCTGAAATACTAGTATAAACTAGTATTTTACAAAAAAAAAAAAATGTTTTTAAAATTTTAAATCTCCAAAGGAGCGAACTCACTGTTGTGGGAAATACTAAGAGACAATATATGGTTACCATGGCTAGCGATTTTGTGATTGATTATGAGAAGAGTAATATTCTTTTTTTTTTAATCCTCACCCGAGGGTATTTTTCCATTTATCTGCAGATAGAGTGGGAAGGAGAAAGAGAGAGAGAAAGGTAGATAGTGAGGGGGGGGGTGGGGAGAGAGAGAGAACAATCGATGTGAGAGAGATATATTGACTGATTGCCTCCCTCATGACCCTGACCGGGCCAGGGACAAACCACAATCAAGGTACATGCCCTAGACCGGAATTGAACCCACGACTCTTTGGTCCGCGGGCTGACACTTTAAGTGCTGAGCCAAACTGGCCAGGGCAAGAGTAATATTCTTTAGTTAAACATTTTGAAAACCAATTAGTTTAGCTGATTTATTTAGTGGCCAGGATGCAGGTCGTTTTGATAGCTCTTAGAACATATAAAGGAACCAACAAAAACAACACTCTGAATCAGAATCTTCCAACATTTCCTATTGCAAGTGTTTTCCATGTAAAATATTCTGCTTTAAAGATCAATTTACTCACTGATATCTAATTTCAATTTCTAGAATTTGAAAAAAGTAGACTTGTCACAAAGTATGTGCATGACTGATATATACTTCAGAGACAACAGTTGATATTTTTTGAACTAGAAAATAAACACAGTTGAAAGAGTAGCTTTGTTCCAGGGTAATATAATGGAAAACGGTGCTTTTCGTCACACAGACAGTGGGCCAGAGTGACCGAGACCGTAAATGCCTTCCCTGGTTTCTCAAATGCGTCAGCCCAGTTAAAAAGGGAAATCATTCTTTCATGACTAAAATATGTGCCCTTAAATTTAGAAAAAAATTTTCACACTTCTTGTTCAATAGTTGAATCATAAAAAGATGTTTGGTTTGTGAAAGTAGCATTGGGTGAACGTAATAAGTTTGAACGGTATAAATGAGATAAAGGCTTTTGTTTGCTGCAGTTAAGAAGCAGATTGCTGAGGAAACACTATTGAGATTATATTCTGTTATTTCCAAGTACTAACATTGTCTCTGGGATTCTTTGTAGAGACCAAATGCCTGATTGTGGGTACAGTAGAAGTTAGGGTTCCCTGAAGTAGAATAGGGAATTCCTTTTTATTTAAGTTGCTGGAGGCATGGGTGATCTTTTGTCCAACCTCCTGTCATTGTCTAAAGTGTGGGGATAAGAATAAGGTAGAGGTTGTTTTTTTTTTTAATTTTTTTTTATTTTTATCTTGTTAATACCAGAATACTCTTTATGTCCAAGAACTGCATGAAGGAGTGACATCTGATGACTTATCTGTGTGTGTCTTCTTTCTAAATTGAAACTCTGCACTCGGCCAGCGAATAATTTCTGAATCAGTTGACACAGTGTATATTTTTTATGACCATTTCTCTTGAGGCTCATCCAGTAAGACAACATTATATCCTGTTCTTTTCCGGAGCTCCCCTCGCTGTTCTCGCAAAGCCATAGGCATGCCTGTCCCTTCGGGCGGCTCCGTTCTTACTTGTTCTGATGCAGTGAATCATGTTCGGAGTGAGGAGATGGGTCTGTGGAAGAACGAGCAATAAAACAATGTACCTCGCATGTTCTTCTGGCTGTATTCCTTCCCATCTTGCCCTTTGTACAAAAATTTGAGATGCTTTAATAAATTCCAAGGGAATATGTTTTAGGAATTTAGGCTATATGCAGTGTTGTGCTGGTAAATGTCTAATAGCTGGTTCTTGGGGTTGGAGGATGTCCTGCTTTCTGGTGTTTGCCAGTTTCTGTGGTGTAAATACTTCTACCATGGCTGATTTCAGTCTTCTAGTATAAAATCACCACGCATAGAGTTGGGAAGTGAAATGACAAGTCAGCTTTGGGGAGCCAGTATAAACTAGCTCTAGCAAACCAGTTGTATGTCATTTTTTTTTCTATCAAATTGCTTAATCTTCAATGAAAACACCTTTGGTAAAATAGAATATTATACTCTGTAACAACTAGGTGTGGGGTGACAGCCAAAATGCCAGACAGGTATCAACCTTAAAATAAAGTTTATCTAGGAAGGTAGTGATTTATCTCATAAAAATGTGGTATATACCAAATGATCTCATATATATATGTGTGTGTGTGTGTGTGTGTGTGTGTAGATATGTCAGTATTATTAAATGTGTTTTCATTTTCATGTCATTTGATTCAATAATTCATATATATACAAAATTTAAAACATATAAGGCATTTGTTTTTAAAACAAAAATAAAACTTTAAATAGTTTGTATTTATGGCATTTTAGAATGTCTTCTCTTTACTTTCAGAGGAATATGGAATGTCCCGTACATGGCTAATGTGTACTTAATTAAAGGGCAGACACTCCGATCAGAGATGAGTGAAAGGAACTATTTTGTCCGCGACAGACTGGACCCTGACATGGCCCTTTGCCGAAATGCCAGAGAAACGGTAGGGTGTGCGGAGGTGGCGTGCCGTCGCTCTAGTACGCAGCTTGCTTTCCCGGTTGATGTGCTGTTTGAGGTCCTTGTTCCTTCTGATTTAGAAATACTAGCCAATTTTTTTGGTTCTGTCTTGACAAGTTGGGAACAATTATGGAGAAGAGTTTGTGAATATTTACCTATGAAACATTTGAAAATTTAGGTTGGTACTTAGGGCCACTCATAAGCAACAGTGGGATTCAATAATAAACATTAATTTGTTACAAATCAGCTCAGCATTTTTAAGAATTCGTCTTTATTTTCATTTGAAATTCTGTATTGAAAACTTGACCTAATTAAAAATAATTAGATAAAACCAGGGTGAAATGATTGTTTACATATTTAAGAACATACTTTATTCTGAAAATCAATGTCCACACTTTAATCTGTATAAAAAATTAACAATACATTGCTATTCTGCAAATCTACTTTCATTATGCAACTTAAATGACTGTAGAAAATAGTTTTTCAAAATGTATAAATATCTTTTATTTTTTATTTTATATATTTTTACTTTTAAAACATATTTGTATGGTTTTCTATTTTAGCAAGGATTGGATTATTATATTCAAATTTGTGTAAGCAAATATAAGTCTGGGAAAAATCAGAAAAGTTGGCAAGTATTTTTTTTTCTTAGTTTAATAAGGCATGTGTTGTGTGAATATGTTTGTTGTTCCTAAAAACCTATGTGCATTGTTATTGAATTTCCTCAGTACCTATAATTATAATTTGTGCTCATGTTTGGCTAATTTCACTCAACAGCGCATCCTGGAATGGCCTCTCTCACACATTTTTTTTTTCTTTGCCTGAATTTTATGTCTCTCGGAAATTATACTACGGAATGAGCTTGGATTTATGTTTCACCAAAAAAAGGGGAGGGGGATTATGGCTGGAGTTGTTTCTTTGTGTGCTCTGCAAGCTTGGCTTGTTCTGCATGTATCCTCTGAAGGACATTCAGCTTTTCATGACGTGCTGCTATTATGTACCTGAGAATACCTGAGAGAGTGGGTTTGCGGGTCAACTTATCTAATGCTTCTCTTCATTTTAGACTTTACAAAGGGAAAAAGACTCCCCTACTCCGGAAACATTCCAAATGCTCAGCCCCCCAAAGGTGTTCTTTTTATTTCTTTTTATTTGTTTTTGTTTATTTAATTGATATTAGATATGGTATATTGCCTCGCAGTAACGTGTCTTAAAGAGTCTTCTTTTCATTTAACTTGGTGACTGTTGGTATTCTTTGGATCTGGATTTGCCGATGTGCTTATAAGCTCTGTGTGTTGTTGGGCGGTGTAAGATGTTCAGCTCTCAGTTCTTTGGGCTGATTTACATTTCACAGCTGACAGATGAGAAAATGAAACATAAATCCCTTTCACTAGTTTTTTTGTTTTGTTTGTTTTCTAAGGGAGAGAAGAAGTAGAAGTAAGTATAAAGTACATGTTGATAAAAATGAGATTTACTTGGACACTTCTCGTGAATTTTTAAATTATTAATAACTAACTCTTTTACCATTAAAACAGGTTCAAAAAGAAACAACCTTACCTTAGTGGTGTGGCCACATTTATTTCGTTTGGGACAAGAATATGAAACTGATTTTCTTTAGCTGCCTTATAATGTACAAGTAATTTCTGTGTTCGGTTTTTGAACAACAGGACAATAAAAGAGTAAAATAGACTGGTGAAATCACATTGACTTCTGAATGCTTGTTTAAAAATGTGATGTCTTCTTTGAAAGGGAAGAAGACTAAAGAAGTACAATTCATTGCACATTGGTGTCTAAAAAATACTTCTGCTTCCAAACAGGAATTTTTCCCCCGATGTCTGCATCTAGGATCACTGAGAAGGGACTAAAACAGTCTGGTCTCCCTCTTCTTTTTTTCAGTTGAGTGTCAGCACTAGCAATTAGTTCTGTGCGGTGTCTGAATTCATAATGAACCGAAATTGTATTTCTTTCCCTTTCACTCATAATGCTTTCTATGAAAAATAAAACTGCATGTTCATGAATGAAAAGATAAAAGTTGAAATTAATGTCATATACTTTTCTATGGTTTGCTATATTTTCTAGTACTTCGTTCTAAGATTGTTAATACTGTTATCTTTTACATATAGGGCGTATTTATGTACATTTCTAATAGACATGAATTTGGAAGAATACTATCAACTGCTAATTACAATACTTCCCATTATAACAATGACCTCTGGCAGATTTTTGAAAATCCTGTGGTATGTATTTCATACTCAACTGTATTTATTACTTATTTTCCTGTAACTCTTCATACATGAACATAAATTGGGTTAATAATATGACACTATGGTAATAGGCTTTAACAATTTTTTAGAAGGGTGTAGTTAATTATATTTTATCTCCCATAGAGTAGAGCTAAACTTGATGGAGAACTTTTTATTACTAACATATATATTAGGTTTGGGGAAGAAAATTTTTTCTGGCATTTTTACTTATATATTGAAAAGCACCATCAAATTTTTAATCACACTTTCAGAAAAAAATGTTTACCAGTAGCTCACATATGACAATATTGCATTTTGATTTTCAGGAAGAAAATTCAAGAGTTAGTTCGGGAAAATACATTTTATTTCATCATTTTTTTTTTTTTTAATTTAATTTTTTTTTTATTCTCACCCGAGGACATTTTTTTGTTGTTGTTCAGGTAGAGTGGGAGGGAGAGAGAGGAACAGAGAGAGAGAGAGAAACATAGATGTGAAAGGACACATCGAGTGGCTGCCACCTGCACAACCGACCAGGGCCGGGGACAAACTACAACTGAAGTACATGCCCTTAGCGGGAACTGAACCCGGGTCTCTCAGGACCACAGGCCGACACTCTAACCGCTGAGCCAAACTGGCCAGGGCATTTTGTTTAATTTTTATAACAATTTTGTGAATATATACCAGAGATAGCCAGAGGAAATTGCAGAGTAAGTGGATTTAGCATAGAAAGAAAATCTTAAATTGGGAAACTATTTCCTTTTAAATTCTAAACTTATTTATTTTCTGAAAGATGTTGAATCTACAGGAATTAACTGTTGTTGTTTTTTTGTTTTTTGTTTTGGTCTTACTGGGGCCTGTTCTCTTTAGTAAAATCAGCACTTTTACTTAAAAGAAAATACTCTCTTGAATAATCATCTTTGTAATGGTACTATTTAGGGTTTCTCTTGCCAGTCGTAAAAGTTTTAAATGACAAAGACTCAATTCACCTGATTAGAAATCTGTTTTATTTTGTAGGCCTATTTGACGTCCAGGCATAGTAAATTTAATGGTATCTGAATACTCTGTTGAATAGAAAAGAATATCTTTTGCAACTTTTGTATTTTAAAAGTACTTTTAGTTTATTTTAGCTGCATATCTTTATCTTTCACAAGAGTAGACTTGAGAAGAGGTTTTTTCAATGGTGAAGGTGGAATTACATATTTTACGTTAACACTGAATTTCTTGTTCTTTTGGGAAATAGAATCATTTGATTTCTTGGGTTATGTTAGCTTCCTGAAAAAAATATTCCAAATTATATCCTGAGTTGTAGATGTTTGTGTAGAAATTCAAATCTTTGCAGAGTGTGCAATTATGATGTCATAAGTAAGTTGGAACAGCTTTTCTTTTCGTGGCTTTACTCTGTGATTTTGGAAATGTGCCTTATGGATCTGCCTTGGGAGGGTTGTACGCAGCAACATATCTAATGATTGTCCAGTTATCAGAACTTCTACGATATCGGTAAAGTCACAGTTTGTTCAATGATATTTGAAAGGTGGTCTGAAATAAAAAAATAATGTAAAATCCTAGGGGCTTTTTTCTTTAACTTCAAAAATCAATAATGATGCATAGAAAAGAATACAGAAAGATTCTGAAATGTTATGAATGATTATTTACTTCTAACTTTCTCCATATTTTGGAATAAAAAAAACTAACAGATATTAGAGGGAATAATGAGGAAATATAGTAATTTGGTCCATATAAATATATACTATAAATGAAATTGATTAAAGAATTTGAAGACAGCTTTGGTTCTCTGTATCAGAAATATCCGAGCTAATATAAGCAGAAAGGCTAAACTAAGAATGGAATATAAACTATCTAGACCTCTTTGAAATCTGGCCTCAAAAGGTATATTTCTGACAAATATTTTTAGAACATATTTTGATTGGAATTATTTTATGTCTGTACCTCAGCTCTTTCTTGTTGCTTCCCTATATTTGTTTTATGTAAAGATAAAATTAAAAATTTTGTTAGACTGCTTAAATACATTTAAGAAGAGATATTTTGGGATAATAAATTACTTCATATTTTAATATATACCCTCTAAATAATTGGATTTTTAAATGAAATATTTGACTGAGGAAAAGGATTCCTTAGCTGATGTTGACAAAAATTGAGATATTTAGTGTGTGGTTTATGTGTTGGAGATTGGTTGAAGAGAAGAATCAGGTTCATGAATTAGCATGAAGAGGACCCTTTTTTTTTTTTAATATGTTTTTATTGATTTTAGAGAGGGAGGAAGGGAGAGGGAGAGAAAGAGAAACATCGATGGGAGAAACATGGATCGGCTGCCTCCTGCACGCCCCCTACTGGGGATCAAGCCTGAAACTGGGGCATGTGCCCTGACCGGGAATTGAACCTGCAACCTCTTGGTGCATGGGACGACGTTCAGCCACTGAGCTACACCGGCTAGGGCTTTCTGTCCCCTTTAAATAGGTTTTTATTGATTTTTTTTTTTTTTTTTTTTTTTAGAGAGAGAGATTGGGGGGGGGGGAGTGGAGAGAGAGAGATAGAAACATCCATCAGCTGCTTCCTACATGCCCCCAGTGGATGTTGAGCCTGCAACCAGGGCATGTGTCCTGACTGGGACTTGAACCAGTGACCTCTTGGTGCATGGGATGACACTCAACCAACTGAGGCAGACTGGATGGGCTAGAGGACCTGTTTTTAAATATATGGTCTTATACATTAATTTTACTAACTATAAGAAATGAAAGTATTAGTAACCATATGAATATTCTTTGAAAAATATTAAGAACTGAAGTTTTGTTCTTGTTCACTTTAAACACGCTTATTTATCTACCCTGTGTATATACATAGGATATAGCATACAAATCTAATCAATATACAGTTACTCCAGTTTTAAAATCTTGAGGCATAAAACTTCATAAATAAAAATTTTGTTTTATAAATAGATATATGATCATACATAAAATCAGGCAAAGATTAAAGATATAAACTGTGGTTTCTGAGAACTCTTTATTTTGTCCAAACACATAGTCATTCATAAGTTGTTTTAGCAATTTCTAAAATACATGTACTTAATATTTTTTATTAAAGTATTTGTAAAGGTATTTGCTTTAACCTGTGAACTTGATTTTTTTCTTGGTAGGACTGGAAAGAAAAGTATATAAACCGTGATTATTCAAAGATTTTCACTGAAAATATAGTTGAACAGGTTCGTATTAATAATTACTACGATATGTAGAGCCTTTTTGCTATATTTTCCAGAAGGATATATGACCGCAGTACTGCTTTAGTGGAGGATGTTGTGAAAGTGGAGAAACTACCCTTTTGGTAAAATTCGTATGGCTTAGTTTCCAATTTTATAGCCTTAAGAGTCATAGAGTTGTAAAACTTCAGACTGTGGAGATGAACAACATTTTAAAGATCATGTGTTTTCAAAGCATGCTCGCAATGTCATAGCTTTCTGTTTTATTTTTTCCGTCACCATTTATCCCCCCAAACTCACCTCCACCCCCCTCCTCACCTCCCCAGCAATGACCACACTGGTGTCTGTATTCATGAGTTAATGTCGTAGCTTTCTCAAACCACGAAAAGTAAGAAACCGGTGGCAAATCTCTTTCAGTGAAAGTTTACCTTTGAAAGAAACTGGGCTTCAAGAATCCCTTCTCAGAGATGTCTTACGAATGAACTCTGTGTTAGATTTGTGCTCCAAATTATTGCTGATTCCTTATTTCAGAGAATGTAAGGAATCTTTGATTCTGAGATGTCTTGTTTTCTTGTATACTATGAGAAAGGAAAAAACACTGCAATTAAACGATGACAATGTTTTTTAATCATTTAGAATTGTTTTATTTTATAAATAGTGAAAGACTTGTGCTACATTTTTAAGGCGTAGTTATATGTTCTTATTTTACACTTATTAAGGCATAAGAATGTGTTCTAGTGCACTGCAAACACAGTAACTTCATTTCTGTCACCAATTATAGTGTAAATCATTTTAAAAGACATTTTAAAGGGCAACTCAGTTAAGCAAATGCAACCAACTAAAAGCATGTATGCATACGCACACGCCGACACACATGTACACAGACACACACGTACACACAGACACACACACACACATGCACATGCACACACATGCACACAGACACACATGCACACAAACATACACACACAGACACACATGTACACACAGAGACACACACAGACACACACAAACACACAGGTACACACATACAAGGTGGGGCAGAATGAATGTATGGCCGAGGCTGTGCCATTCAAACTGCATCACAGTGGCTGCTTGGCTATATGGCTTTAAGATACATGTTGAATTGCCCTGGCCAGTTTGGCTCAGCAGTTGAGCATCGGCCTGTGGACCAGAGAGTCCCAGGTTCGGTTCCCGCTAGGGGCACCTACCACACACACACACACAGATACATGTTGATTTCACTGATGTTAAAATTAAAAAAAAAATCTCAGAAAGTGTTTAAAACCCCAAACTAGTATTGTTTGTAATAATAATGTCAATAATATGGGGGAAATTTCTTTAAAAAAGACATCTATATGAGATGAATAGCGAATATTCTGTACTACTCCTTTTGAATTGCTCGTTATTAAAGACAGCACATTATTCTCTTAATGGTGATGCCATGTTTTATAGCCTTGTCCAGATGTCTTTTGGTTTCCCATATTTTCTGAAAAAGCCTGTGACGAGTTGGTGGAAGAAATGGAGCATTATGGCCAGTGGTCTGGAGGGAAACATCACGTAAGTTGTGCTTTCACACAGAAAACCGCAATGTGTGTGGGGTGGGAGCAGGGTAGATATTTAGAGAATGCGGAGTGGATTGTCCTTGATGTACATCTCTGAGGAGACCTAAATGAACGGGCTAGCCAAGACCATCAGGAGAGCTGGTGTTAAGTCTAATTGTGCCACTAACTAATTAGTGTTTAACATTTGATCTGTCTGGGCCTCAGTTTCCCATTTACGAATGTAAGTAAACTGGATGGTCCCTAACGGTCGGTGTCCCAGGCTGGTGGTGGTAAGGTAATGTTTATCTTTACTGTGTAATGTTGTTCTGCAGCGGCCACTTTTTAGTCTGCATTTTTATAGTGAGCTATAGGGAAAATACCAAGTCTGACTTTACCTGGTTGATGGTCAGAGCTATTTTTCTGTATAAAACATAAGAAGGAGGAATCTGAATGCCTTTAGTGTAATTATTTCCTATTTACATTTGTGTCAGAGACGTGGCAGGAAGTCTTACTGTCAGTGGGCCAATGTATTTCTTTTCCTCGGAGAAAAGGAAGGAAAAGCCCTTTAGGGGGCTTGGGAGGGCTTTGGAAATTAATTGTATTTACATTGTAGTCAGAACTTACACACACATTTGTAAAAAAAATAATATGAATGGAGCCCAACCTATGTAGCTCAGTGGTTGAGCATCAATCCACGCACCGAAAGGTCACCGGTTTGATTCCCGGTCTGGGCACATGCCCAGGTTGTGGGCCCGATCCCTGGTGGGGGGCATGCAGGAGGCAGCCAGTCGATGTTCTCTCTCATTGATGTTTTTATCTCTCTCCTTTCCTCTATAAAGTCAATAAAGAAAAAAATATTTAAAAAATAATAATAATATTGCCCTGGCCGGTTTGGCTCAGCGGTTGAAGCTTTGGCCTGTGGACCAGAGAGTCCCAGGTTCGGTTCTCTCTAGGGGCATATACAAAAAAATAATAATAGTAACGTTAATGGAGCCACTTTATTTTTTTTTTAAACTATTTTTTCTTTATTGATTTTAGGAAGAGAGGAAGGGAGAGGGAGAGAGAGATAGATAGAAACTTTGATGAGAGAGAGCAGTGATTGTCCGCCTCCTTCATGGCCCCCACTTGGGATGGGGCCCACAACCTGGGCTTGTGCCCTGACCGGAAATTGAACCGGCGACCTCTTGGTTCATGGGTCCATGTTCAGCCACTGAGCCACACAGGTTGGGCTTAATGGAGCCACTTTAAAATGCAGCTGGAGCTGCCATCCCAGAGACTTGCACATCTTATTCCTCCTCGGAATGTTAAAGTGGCGAAATAACCTTGGATTGGCCCTAAGGACAGCATTGCATCCCAATCAGAACACTGTTTGGATTTCTGCCCGAAGCAGTGCTTTCTGAATAACTACTCTTTTGGATGTCAAATAAACTTGTTACCTCTTACTTTGGCCTTTTGTTTTGGGGTTACCACATTAAATAAGTAGGAGAGGGGTCTACTGACTCTGCAGTGTTTTGCTTCACGGATGTATTTGCCAAGCCGTGTTACCTAAGTTTTTCTGATAGTTGTGCTGTTACAGCAGATGATGTGCCATAATTCAATGGTTGGTTTCTTTGTCTATGATGATCTTGGGTTGAAAAAATTCCAAGATGGTAGAAATGTGGATTGCTCATGGCCCACCCTTTACCGTGTCATTAATTCTGTTTTCAGGATAGTCGTATATCTGGCGGTTATGAAAATGTACCAACTGACGATATCCACATGAAGCAAATTGACCTGGAGAATGTATGGCTTCATTTCATCCGGGAGTTCATTGCACCGGTTACGCTGAAGGTCTTTGCAGGCTATTATACAAAGGTAGTTATTCTCCTGTTCCCCTGCCCACCTCCTACCAGTTTCCACCCAGCTATGCTATTTTATGTTTTCATTGATCACAAATCCATTCACTTACTTTGCCTCTTTAGGGCTTCGCATTATTGAATTTCGTTGTGAAATACTCCCCTGACAGACAGCGTTCTCTCCGCCCTCATCACGATGCCTCCACCTTCACCATCAACATCGCTCTCAACAACGTGGGAGAAGATTTCCAGGTACGTATGGGTTCTCGTCTTTACCCTTCGCAAATCTGTCCTTACAAAAAGGACTTGACCCTCTTCTGGGTAAGATTCTGCGTATATGGCATGCTTTCAATGTTGCCACTGATAAAAATTTAAGTGTCACAGGCCGATGCGTTCATTTGCTGCATCTCTTTTAGGGCGGGGGCTGCAAATTCCTGAGGTACAACTGCTCCATCGAGTCGCCGAGGAAGGGCTGGAGCTTCATGCACCCCGGGAGGCTCACGCATCTTCACGAAGGGCTTCCTGTGAAAAACGGGACGAGATACATCGCAGTGTCCTTCATAGATCCCTAAGTTATTCGGATTCTTGGAAGCGCTGTTTCCTCGGGAATGGGTGAAGATGTCTGAAGTTGTGCTGGAGAAGATGAGAGGGATATTTAAGCAACTTCAACAGAACAACTTCACTTTGGGCCAAACGTTTGAAAAACTTCATAAAAAATTGATACGTCCTAATGTCTGCTCTGAGCCTTAAAACACAGATCGAAGAAGAAAGAAAAAGGAAAAAAAGGAAAAGCGAATATTTATTTCTTTGCCTTCTTGTCTCAGAATAATGAGAGTGTTTCTGAATTTGCGTTTCTTCTGATAAAATATTCTGGTACAGATGTACAAGTGACAAAGGAGACTAGTAATATTTTCTTATTTAACAAAGCCTGGGAAGACTTTTATTTATCAACATGTAGATAATGAAGGATATAAATTAAAATTGGCAGTTTTTTAAATGTTGGAAAACTGGAATTCTGACTGAATCTGTGTGCAATTAATTGTGTAAATACTTTTTTGATCACCTGCGTAGGTATGTTTTATAGTAGTTCCTGACAGAATATAATGAAGAGTATTACACATGTTCTTTCTTAAGAAACTTAGTACAAAATACAATGAGATGCATATCCAGTGGGAAACATCTTTGTTTAGCTTCCTGGACAGATTATTTTACATTTGTATTAGAAATAAAGCCCTGAGTTCCTTCAGATGAATTTACCAAGGTAGATTTTGTTAAGCAGATATTAGATTTAGAAAAGCTTTCAAATCTTTCCATTTCTTAAGTATTGACTTAAGATCATGAACTGTCTTTAAGTCAAAGAAGGTTGTTTCTTTTCATTCTATAAAACAATGAGGATTCATTTTTTCTTTGAGATGAGTAGCAGCATTTTGTGACTTAAAAACTTTTTTAAGTACTTGAATTTTATATCAGGAAAATAAGTTGGTGAGCCTCTCTTTTTTACCTTTTGCTCTTTGCCCCTCCTTATTCTTTTTTAAGGAAGGATTTTTCACTTTTTTAGTCTTCCTAGAATATTCTTCATTTTATCCTTCTTACTGTTTTTATTAGCTTTTTAAAATCCCACTCTGAAGTAACTCCCCTACACAAAAGAATTTGTGCCTTGATTTTCACCATTTCTCTGAATGAGGTTTCAATATCCTTATTGTAGCTACTGTTTTTAATTTAAAGGCTAAACTTGAAAAAAGTTCCGTCATGGTGCCAAAATTCATTTTTCTAACACCATGTGTTAGAAAATTATGAAAAATAAAATAATTTAAAAGAAGTTTCTGTTGTTCTCTTTATTATTGGTGATTTAGCTTAAGAAGGGAATTGTAGTTGAATAGCCTAGACAGACTAGGCTATATTTTTTCATTTTGCTTGGTACATTTACTGATATCATAACATAATGAAAACTCTATTTATTGAATTACAAAGGGAATTAATATTTTTAATCTCAGAGTGACTAGGGATTTGATCAAACTTATTTTACAAGTGAGGAAATATATATTTATTAGTTTATATTATTCTATATATATATTTATTTTATTGATTTTAGAGGGAGGGGGGAAGAGGGAAAAAAGAGAGTGAGTGAGAGAGAAATATTGATTTGTTGTTCCACTTATTTATGCATTCATTGGTTGCCTCTTTTTTTTTTTTTTCCTTTGTGGTACGTGCCCCTAGCAGAAACCAAACCCGGGACTCTCTGGTCCACAGGCCGACACTCAACTGCTGAGCCAAACTGGCCAGGGCTGGTTGCCTCTTATATGTGCCCTAACCAGAGGTCAAACCCACAACCTTGGTGTATGAGGATGATGCTCTAACCAACTGAGCTCCTGGGCCAGGGCTCAACATATATTTGTTTATTCAGTGGTGTTTTTTAAGTTTCTACAGTGGGCCGGGCAGGCAGTATTGCAGGCACTGAGGATGTGGTGATGAAACAAGATGTTATAATTACTGGGAGATGGATTTAGGAAATAAGGAAGTTGGGTTCTACCTCTTTTGTCTTTTTCAGTGGCACTTAATACCCAAAGTAAATTCCTACTATCTGTCATGTTGGTTGAGGAGACATTGTAGTAATGATTTAAAATTTTTATTTGGTATACTTCAGGGATGGTATTCCAAATACATAACAGCTGGTATGTCATAGATGCCACCCAGTCAGAACAGACTCAGGTTATAACAGACAGAGTTCTACCGGTGCAAGTCAGCTTACTGTGCCTGGGGAACATGTCAGAGGACGGACATCGACCAGATCCCGGTTCCTTTCGGTTGTATCCATGGGTGCTGACCTATCATCACCATGTTAATCACATGCCATGTGTCCAGAAATTGGATCAAGGTGGTCAGCTGAGTACGTTTTCTATTTCATCCCAGATTTCATAAAATATGTACTTTTTAAAAGAAAAATTTGTTAGGGAAAGTGAGAAATTCCCATAAGCAGATCAGCAAATGTGAAAGATGGAAAACAGACAGGATTGGAGGGATGGAGAAAGCTGTAGCTGGACACACGCTCAGCTCTGGTAACCATCAATATGTTCTCTGTTTCCGTGAATTCTTGCCTTTCAGATTCTACATATAAGTGAGAGAGCGTACAGTATTCATCTTTGAGTTATTTCACTTAGCATACCTCCCTCCAGGCTCATCTATGTTGTCACAAATGACAGTGTTTATTTCTTCTTTATGATTGGCTAATAATCCTCTGTGTGTGTGTGTGCATTATCCATTCATCCGTCAATGAACACTTAGGTTGTTTTCATGTCTTGATTGTTATAAACAATGCTTCAATTAACATAGGGGTGTAGATGTCTCTTTGAGATGGTGAGTTTTTTCCTTGAGATGTATACACAGAATTAGAATTACCGGGTCATATCATAGCTATTTTTAATGTTTTGAGGAACCAAAATCTTTTTCTGTGGAAATAATTTGCATATTATTGTTTAACTTATAAATACTAGAAAGGGGAGACCTCCCATAACTAATTTAACTTCATTAAATAAACTATATTAGTGTCAGAGATAACCATTGATGTTTGCACGTGTGTGCCTGTTCATGTTGTATCACCAAAGGCTTAGATGTTCATTATGGCAGCATCTTTTCTAATCCCTAATGTGCATAGACATCAGCGTGAGTGTTGTCTCCTAACACAGATACTTTAGTAGTCGTCTAGTATATTAATTTTCTCCATTTGGCTTCTTTTTTTGGAAAACACTAGTAATTTACCTTGACTGGTAACTTACCTTAGAGATCAAATTTTACTTGTCTACAGAATAAAAATATGAAAAACAACATGTGAATTGAGTAGTTCACCCTAATGGCAGAATCTCTTTATAAATTCCTTTATCGCTCTTCTCCTGGGTGTAGTATGCACTTAATGCCCCTGCTTGCTAAGCCCTAAGGCCCCTGTGTATGACATTTGGGGGACTGACATTCATCTGGAATATGGAATAGTCTGTGCAAACTATCTCTTTAGGTTGCAGGCAAACCAAATAAAATTTTGAATCACAGTTGAGAAGTCAGTTTCAGTAAATACCTCTTTTTTGACTAGATGTTGACTATTTTGGAAAGTTAAAGTTTTTAACATTTGGTGGAAACAGCATTTGTCAAATAAGACAGTTGACCCGTGGTTTCTTAGAATAGCAATACTTTTTTTTTTTAATAACCAACTTCTTTTAGAATAAGTCTTTGTTAAGAAAAAGCCATTGGGGAGAATGTATGAAGTTCCTTAATGGGAGAAATGAATTTTGGATTACATTTAAAAATAAATGCACTAAAATATAAGTAATGAAAAGAGTAGAAAAATACACATGTAGACATGCTTTAAAAATGCAAAGTACTGTGTAGATAAATTATTCTAATAAAGAGAATTAGAAAAATTGGAAAGATGAATATTAGGGATTTGTGGACTTTATAAATCTTAAATTTTCCTGACAGCTTTTTAAAAATATTTTAAAGATCAAATTTAAGTTATATTTTTGTTTGTATTCTTAATATGTTAAAATAGATTAGAAAACATTCATTTGGATAGATAGGTTCTTTGCTGATTTTTGAAGTAGGGTTTTTTGTTTTTGTTTTTTTGATAAATCAAGTAACAATGATTATTTTTCATGCTATTTTTTCTTTTGGAAAAAATGATTGGCCACAATAATGTGAATATTTATACTCTTCTTAAAGTTAGAAAGGGATTTCTGCCTATTTAATAATATAAAACACACAAGTAATCAACTTGAAGAATAGTTTTAGTAAATAAAATAGAATAGATTATGCATGCCATAAATAAAAAATACTGTTCCTTTCAAAACATCCCTACCTCAAAGGAAATAGTAGATTACCAAAAAAAAGAAAAAGAAAAGAAGAATTCGGCAATAGTGAAGGAGAAAATATGAAAATATTTTATGTAGATTTGTAATGAGTGAACTTCTGTTTAATCATAAAATAATTGAAAAATAATTTTGTCAGTGACTTTTGCTCAGTAGCTCTCCCCTCAGGAATGTTGTGAAACGGTAGAAAGAATCCTTAGGGAAATCACATGGCGCTATATAATTCTGGATCTTACATTTGACAAAGCTCAGTAACTTCCAAGTGAAAAATCGACAAATTAAAGCATATATTTTCTACTGAGCATTATTGGTTAGATAACTGATTAACTGAAAAAGGTGCATATTTGGAAAATGGCATTATCCTATGCCTATTAAACTTTGTTTTAAATTCTTTTCATCTATGTTTACGTAGTTTATGTTTTATAAATCTTGCCAAATGGTGACATCACAGCCCCACCTGGTGGATAATGCAGATACTAATAGGGTCTACATTTTAAGCAAAAAGCAAAAGCTTTAAATTTTTAAAAAATATTCATGCTGTCAACATCTTTCTTAAAGGCTAATACAAATGAAAATGATTAGATGGCATGTTTTCTTCCCCCAGGAATTTTTGTGTGTGTGGTACCCAGTAGTTCGAAAGGAAGAATTGGGACACCTGATTCTGAAATAAGGGGTAGCTAGCATACTCCAGTTAATACTGCGGAAGTTATTTGTTTACCATTCTTCGTACACTTTGCAAATTGCTAATTTATGTTAACTAGGGAATATAGACCTGGACTAAAATTAGTGCAGAAGTGGTCAGACTCAGTTACAACTGACCCAGTAATTTATTTTCAGTAAACAAGATAACTTACGTAATATTGGAGTAGCTCCAGAGAATGTGATTGTAAAAAGAAATACATTTTTTAAAATGTCTTTGTGGCAGGGCAAGGTAAATCACCGTAATTTTTTTTTTCTTCATAAACAGCACAGGGCTAGTAAGTACAGCAGCGAGGACAGCATTCCTGGGACCAAACTTGAGTGATTCAAACACATTCTGAAATTCATAATTTCTGTTTTGGCTTTTGGAAGATGAACAAAAGTTGCTCCCGCTGAAGTTGCTGGAGGGCG